TTGGGCAAAAGGTCATTATACGGAGGGCGCGGAATTGATCGACAGCGTGTTGGATGTGGTCCGCAAGGAAGCAGAGGGATGTGATTGCCTTCAAGGGTTTCAAATGTGTCATTCACTCGGAGGCGGCACTGGAGCTGGCATGGGGACGTTGCTCATTTCCAAGGTGAGAGAGGAATATCCCGACAGGATCATGGAGACGTTCAGTATCATTCCGTCCCCAAAGGTTAGCGACACAGTCGTGGAACCATATAATGCGGTATTGTCTTTCCACCAGTTGGTGGAGAATGCCGACGAGTGCTTCTTGCTTGACAACGAGGCCCTTTATGACATATGTTTCCGTACGCTGAAGCTGACCACGCCCACGTATGGGGATTTGAACCACTTGGTGAGTGCAGCGATCAGTGGTGTCACTACTTGCTTGCGCTTCCCGGGGCAGCTCAACTGCGACCTGCGCAAGATTGCTGTGAACCTGATACCATTCCCGCGCCTGCACTTTTTCATGACTGGCTTTGCGCCCCTCACGTCCCGTGGCTCCCAGCAGTACCGCGCGCTGACCGTGCCGGAGCTCACGCAACAAATGTTCGATGCCAAAAATATGATGTGTGCAGCTGACCCTCGCCATGGCCGCTACCTGACCGCGGCGGCCCTGTTCCGTGGTCGCATGTCCACCAAGGAGGTCGACGAACAGATGCTTAATGTGCAGAACAAAAACTCTTCATACTTTGTGGAGTGGATTCCTAACAACATCAAGGCTTCAGTGTGCGACATCCCCCCAAAGGGCCTCAAGATGGCAGTTGCCTTCGCAGGTAATTCAACAGCGATTCAGGAAATGTTTAAGCGTGTAGCAGAGTACTTCACGGCGATGTTCCGGCGCAAGGCCTTCCTGCACTGGTACACCGGCGAGGGCATGGATGAGATGGAGTTCACCGAGGCGGAGAGCAACATGAACGACCTTGTCTCGGAGTACCAGCAGTACCAGGATGCCACTGCGGAGGAGGAGGGCGAGTTCGATGAGGAGGAGGACGGCGAACAGTGAGGTGCTTCTCGGGTTTTCCGCGCGCACCTGACCTTGCTTGTTTTTGGCCTTCGAATGACCGACGGGCCGATGCATGCGTGCAAGGACGCAACTCGTGAGAGAATCCAGGAAAACATGTGTCTTCTCGAAAGGAGTCGAAGGAGACATGCTGGTACAATTCAAGTAGCTCTCCATCGAGAGCTGAGTTTCGGGAAGAATCCGCCCTCAATCCCTTCTTCGGTTGCACACAACTGTTAATTTTATTTTGTCATTCTTGGTAGTCCCATGCAAGAGGCCCATAATCAACAGAGTCAGGACTCACGCTTCAGCAACCCGCCTGCTCGACTTGGCCGCTTCGGCCCGCCTTCCCCACCCGCCCGCTAGGGTCTGCGTGTTTTCTGTTCTTAGTCTCCCTACCTACTTTCTTTCGTTCTCCATCCTTTTCCCTCCCCCTTCCATCCGTCGTCTCTTCCCTTGTTTTAGGGGCTGCGCTACATGCGCGTGGCAGGTAAGGAAGATATACCCCCAAGGGGGATCTGATCGGAAACTAAGAGGGCGGGTACCGAGGGTTTGGGGCAAATGTGATAAATGGCACGCGAGCAGATCGGAACGAAGAGTCTTAAAATGATTGTTGAATTCTCTTCTTCAAAATGACAAATCGTTTTCTCCTCCCAGGGCCCGCACTATTTTTCTAAGGGGAAACTGGGTGTCACCAAACTGGGCCTCTGGCCCCTAGTTTACAACAGCCCCTGGTTTGCAACAACAGCAACAGCAACATCATCAACAACAACAACAACAACAACGGCTCCCGCCATATACTTCCTCACAATTTATTCCCAAATCGCGCTCTCGCGCGGGATTTCCTCACACGTTGTGCCCCAGAGTCGCGTTCTCGCGCGGGATTTCCGCGCAATTTATTCAGACGCCGCGCTCTCGACACTCAGAAATCACGCTCTCGCTGTGGCCATTCGATTTACTTGGGAATCGTGCTATCGCTCGAGACCTTGCGATTCATGCAGGACGCACGCTTCAGCAACCCGCCTGCCCCTTGTCCCTTCCTTGCATCCGTCCTGTCTTCTTATGCCTCAGAGGCTGCACGAAATACACGTTGCAGGTAATCAAGAAATATTTACCCCTTCTGGGGGTATGATCGAAGACGAAAGGGGAGGGTATCCAGGATTTGGGATATTCGTGCTGAGTGTCACGCGAGCAGATAAGAGCGAACATTGTCAAAATGACGGTTGTTGTTGTACCTTCATTCTTGAACAATAGTTATTGTTCATCACCCCCACGGGTGCATATTTTATCAGGGAACGCCGTACTGCTCAAACTGTGTTATTGGCACCCCGGCTACAACAACAACGGCTCACGCCTGATATTTCCTCACAATCTATTCCAACATCGAGCTCTCGCGCAGGACTTCCACACAGTTTTTCCAGGAATCGCGCTCTCGCGTGGGATTCCCTTGCACTATATATTCGGACGCCGCGCCCTCGACACTCAGGAATCAGGATCTCCTTTGGGCCTTACGGTTTTCTTTGGAATTGCGCTATCGCTTTGGCCTTCCTCATGATTGTTGTTGTTGTTGTTGTTGTTGTTGTTATTGTTGTTGTTGTTGTTGTTGTTGTTGCTGTTGTCGCTTCGCATAACCCCACCAGCTCATCCACAAACGATGCCCCGACGAGTTGCCTTGATCCCGGAGCTCAACACGGACTAGTCATGTTTTGAGAACGACCCCAAAAGAATATTAACCTGGGTTTAGCATGTTCCAGGATTATGCCAGGGTTCATAATGTCCTCCCCGGAGCATTATGAACCTGGGTTTTAATGTTCCGGGACATATTGACCGGGGTTCATAATGTTTCCCCCGGAACAGTTTAAACCTTGGTTTGTACTGTTCCGAGCATATCGACCCCAAGAAGATGTTTACTTGGGTTCATAATGTTTTGGGCATATTGGTTGGGGTTAGTAATGTTCTGGGAATATCGAACCCCGGTTCATTATTTTGGAATGATAATTATAGAGGCTGAGGGGCGTCGCCTGCGCCATAGGCGGATAATCAGAATCCGGATTTCTGATTCCGGAATGGTTATCATTATTTTTCTCCCCCAGCCCCGCGCCTCTAAACGGGGATTCATCATGTTAGAATATTGACCCTAGTCCGTTATCTCTTAGAACATCATAAACTTGGGTTCGTAAGTTTCTGGGAATAGTGAACTTAGGTTCATTGTTCTGAAATGATAATGATCTGGCGGAAAGGGGGGGCGCCTGAGAAGGAGATTGGACTGGGGTCAACCCTGGTTCAGTATGTCGGAATATCGACCCCAGATGCATTATTCGGGAACGAAAATGATCCAGGGAGGCGGGGGCCACCGATCCATCCACAGGCCCATAATCCAATGGGGGTATCATCTGAACGTAACGAACCTAGGTTTATCATTCCTGGATTTTAATCACGGTCGACGAGGATTTCGCGGCCACTCCCCATGTTTTTGGAAGATTTGACGTCCTCGCCTTTCGAGTTCCCAGCGCTTCAAAATGACCAGAAGCCCCCAAGAGTGCCCGACGACGCCCAAAGAGAGCCCAGGCACAGTCCAGAAAGCCTCCAAGATTGCCTCAGAGACTTCCAAGACGGCCCCAGAGGGGTCCAAGAGAACGCCAAGACAGGCGCCGAGACTGCCAGGAGGCCCCCAACAGGCCCCGAAGAAGCGCGAAGGGACCCCAACAGGCCCCCAGACGTCCCTCCGTCGCCATTTTGGCTCAAGCGATTCCGATCGAGGCTGTCACATCACGCGACGGCCTTGTGAGTTGTCACCCCCTGTCAGACTTCAACTCGATCAAGGAGCCCATCCAACACAATGCGTGAGGCGATCTGCATCCACATTGGGCAGGCGGGTGTGCAGATTGGCAATGCATGCTGGGAGCTTTTCTGCCTTGAGCACGGTATCCAGCCCGACGGCCAGATGCCCTCTGATAAGACGATCGGAGGCGGCGACGATGCCTTCAACACGTTCTTCTCCGAGACTGGCGCTGGCAAGCACGTCCCCCGCTGTGTGATGGTCGACCTAGAGCCCACTGTGGTCGATGAAGTACGCACGGGTACATACCGTCAGCTGTTCCACCCTGAGCAGCTCATCTCGGGCAAGGAGGACGCCGCGAACAACTTCGCGCGAGGCCACTACACCATCGGCAAGGAGATCGTCGACCTCGTCCTGGATCGGATCAGGAAGTTGGCCGACAACTGCACTGGCCTCCAGGGCTTCATGATCTACAATGCCGTCGGCGGAGGCTCCCAGATGGGGTCGGAGTAGACGGGGTCGAAGGATCGCCCGATGTGGAGGCCGATGTTCTCCACGCCGACGTCGCCGATGCATCGCCGATGCATCGCCGATGCGTCGGTGATGCATCGGCGACGCACGAGCGATGCATCGACGACGCAGTGGCGCTGCATCGACGAGGCGGGGCGATCGTCCGACCCCATGTGCTCGGAGCCCATCTGGGAGGCTTCTACTCTTCCGGCAACCAACTGCGGGAATCTCTGACGTGGGCCTCCCGGGCCCCAGCAGCGGGCCACGCCCCTCCGCCGTCGCCCGCCCCCGCCGACCGTGCCCCGCGCGCCCCTCGGGGCCCGACGGGGCTCGGCGGGGCTCGGCCGAGCCCCGGGGCGGGCCGCGGCTGCAGCCTGTGCGCGTGGCCGCGGACAGCTGGCACCCGTGCCCATGCGACCTGCATGGTCCTCGGGGGGTGCGTGTGGTCGGATTGGCTCTCGGCTCGAACGGGGGCCCTTGGATCGGAGTCCGACAGCCCTTGCCCACAGCTGCAGGGCAGCCTCCAACCGCGAGGCGCGGGCCAGCCCCCCCCCCCCTACAAGTATGAGCGCGCGTCGTCCGCTCGTCACGAGCAGCGGGCCGCACTCCTCTGCTGTCCCCCGCCTCAAGAAAAAACTCAGGGGAGGCCAGTTTCACAGAGGCAGGATTCCGTGATTTTCTAGTGGGCCTCGTTGGGTCTGAATGGACGTTGGAGGCAATTCAGGCTCCCCCGCCCGTTTCGGTGAAACTCTCTCGCCTCTCGCCCCCTGGAAGTGATATCCCGCCCCCAGAGCCCTCAGTGCGGGATCCCACCAAGATCCCAAAGCCCAATCAGATCACAACAAGACCCAACTCGGAGTCCAATTTGAGCCCAAGAGGAATGCATGGCTCGATGGTTTCGATGGTTGTCTCGGCAACGTTTGCGTGGTGTCGATGAGAACCCAAGCATGATTCCTCTTCGATGGGAACGCACTACAGGTTTCTCTTCTACATCTCTTACTCCCACCCCTCGCTGACTTATTAAGATCAATCAATTTGTGGGGTGCTATCGATATCCCTCGGCGGTTCCCCCCCTCGGAGATCAATTGATTATTTTCAGTGCTCCTGGTATCGCCCGGGGCATTCTTAGTTGCTTCTCACGGGTATTCGCTTCTCCGGTCATCCAGGATGGCCAGGGCAGGCCGAGAGTCTTCCAATAGCGCGGCTAGGACCGCACTGGCAACGACAGGCCATGAGGCTCTGAAGACGGCCTGGGGGTAGTCGCAAGACGCTGGGTCCAGCGACAAACGCCGGGAGGCATTGATCGCGCCGTTCTGCCGTGGCACGTTCTGCGCCTCTTCCAGCTCAGCCAGCGTGCAGCCTTGACTCAGGCGAGCCATCCCACTTCGCGGCGATTGTCCCTCACGTGAGCGCGCGCGCACTGAGCACCAATTGTCGCTGATCAGACGAGCAAAGACGATGGTCGAGCAACGTGACGCAACTGTTACTAGAACCTTTGCGCGCAAAGCGCGCGCGTGGTTTGATCACGCCTCAGCTAGGTCCTACAAACATATGCGCCTACATCCATACAACAGCCCGTTCATGCATAAATCCATTCGTGCATGGTTCTGTACATTCCACCGTACATAATCAAATTAATGCTTCTTTCGAGGCAGCCCGAAGACCAGACGTGGTCCAACCGTGTAGCCATCGAGTCAGCCCCACATGTCTATTGACACCGTCTTCAGAGTCGTTTGGAACCTAAGTGCGCGCGTAGCGCGCGCGTGGTGCTGGTATGTGCGTTTGCGTGTACATTGGCGTGTATACATATCTGTCACACAGTGCCATGCGGTGCACACGCGTTGATCTAACTTGTGCGTTTTGTCAGAAGCTTTCTCACACGCTATTCTGTTGCCCCTATGCGCGCGCGCCCCCCTCGTGCGCGTGCTCACGTCAACACACACACACACCTTTTTTGTTGCAACCTGTCCGCATGTTTCCCTCATGCGAGAAACACGTGTTTTCATGTCTTTCCACCGACCCACTGCCACACTCATGCGCGCTCCCTTTGAGCGGCCAAGAGCAATTGATCGGATCTTCGGCCATGCTGTCGACTGGCCACGCGCGCGCACACGTGGAGCACAGTCAACCAGCACCGCGCTGCCCTCCTACTCCGTGAAACAGTTCCATGCGGGTCACGCGCGCGCGTCGCCTAGTGCAGGCGGCGAAGCCCTGCACTTACATGTTATGTTTTGTGCCTTCCATTATGCGAAACATCGCTTCAGCACGCAGGTGTGCAGCACCATATGGGACCCAGTGGTTGTGCAATACAAGTTCTGTCAGAATTTCGGACGTTCTGCCTCCGCGCACTTCATGAACATCCTCAGCAGCACAATCGTTATCATCATCGCCAGTGTCATCGTTGCCACCGCCGTCAGCATCTCCGTCACCTTCATCGCCATTATCAGAATCGTTGTCGTTACCGCCGCCGTGGTCATCAATCTCATCATTGTCATCGTTGTTGTCGTCGCCTGTTTCGTCAGCGCCACCATCAACATCACCACCCTAGGCACGGACCTGCACGACAATAGCTTTCGCGTCTTCAGTTGTGTTGTACCAACAAGTTGCGGGTGAGTGGGTGGAAAGTTTGCTCGAGGTTTGGAGTTGACGCCTGGCATTTGAGCTCACGGCTCCAAGGCCGTCAACATTAATAATAAAAATGCATTGATTTCTCTCCCTCTTTTCTGGGCTGATGTTTACCCCTCCGGTAGCGCGAGTCAGCACATGCTCGCGTATATGATCGCGGGCTTCGGGTCCTCGGGCCCCCCCCCAGATGGGATGGGTCCCAGGGTCCTCGGCCCCCCCCCCCCAGATGGGATGGGGGGGGGAGGAGGAGGAGGAGGAGGAGGAGGAGCAGGATGAGGAGGAGGAGGAGGACGACGACGACGACGGCAATGACGACGATGACGACTACGACGACGACGACGACGACGACGACGACGACGACGACGACGACGACGACGACGACGACGACGACGACGACGACGACGACACCGACGACGACGACAACGACGACGACAACGACGACGACGACGACGTCGACGTCGACGGCACCACTAGCGGCGGCGGCGACGACGTCAAGCACCAGAGCTGTCAACATGACGCCAATCCCAGCCACACGCCGCACCCACACCGCACCCACAGGGGGGGAGGGATGGGGGGGAGGAGGACCATGGCGTCACCCCGCAAACACACACAGCAACACACCACACCCACACCACATGCACAGGGGGGGGGGAGCCACCACGCCAAGCCCACGCCCACAGGGGGGTGGGCATCGCGCGGGGGGTGGGGGGGCGATGGCATTAGCATTGGGGGGGAGGGCCCAAACCCTCGACCATCTATGGTCATGCGCACGTGTTAATGCAAGGTGCGTGTGCGGTGCGTAACATCGGGTATACTATGGTTTGATAGTCTAGCATTTGTTAGGTATGGGGTGCTATGAGGACACGTGCTTACATTACCTACGCTGGGGTAACATGTATGCCTACATCGTATGTCTGTACGTCATGCGATACACGGCAGGTTAACCGAACACATGTTCGTTCAGCATACGTTCATACAGCATGTTGCACTATCTAATGTCCTTCGGCCCACCGCGCCACTGTGCCTGGGTTGTGGGTCTGAGCCCTCTTGGATGTTCGTTGGGATCTCGTCGGGGCCCCTCGGGGGCCTCCCGAAGGCAGTTTTGAGGTCTCCAGGGGACTGTTTTGGGGTCTCTTGGGACCTCTTTTGGGCCTCTTGGTGGCCTCTTAGGGCCTCGTGGGGGCCTCCTGGGGGCCTCTTGGGGCCTCTTGGGCGCCTCTTGGTGCCTCTCCTGGGTGCCTCTTGGGGCGGAAGGCTAGGATTTTCGGTTTGTGTTCCCCGTTCCCCCTTTTGGGCTCCTCTCGGGGCCCTCTTGAGCAGTCTTGGGCGCCTCTTGGGCCGTCTTGGGGCCTTCCTGGGCCGTCTTCGGGCGTTCTTGGGGGCTTCTTGGGCCGTCTTCGGTCGGTCTTGGGGGACCTCTTGGGACGTCTTGGAGCGTCGGAAGCTCGAAAAGTTGAGAACCCCCCAAACCATTGAACAACCAGACGGAAGTGTAGCATATGCCGCTCAGACATAGAGTACGAATGAGCATTAGAAGTTCTACGGCAGGTAATCCCCGGCAGCTGGAAGCAGAGGCAGTTCGTCATTGGAGTGGGCGCCAATGTTGAAGTGGGCCAGCAGCATGACGAAGACGACCCCCTTTGCATCGGCAAAGTCGGCCTGGGCGCGAGGACGGATTGAATCAATTTCTGGCGTGGGCAACCCAACACGCGACAAATCTATTATGTGTTAATTGGCCACAGACTCAAAATAGAGTTGAACAATACAGATGTCATTGCCGATTTGATGCAAAAGAAGGGTCGCAGGGCGGTTTTTGGCAAAATATGGCAGTACGCGCGAAAGTGGAGACGGCGGAAGCCTCTGATGGTGGGGCGAGGATGGGACATGACAGCATACCGAGAATAATGCCATGTGGCACAAGCGACTGCCTTGCGCGAGGCATCCGAAGACGTCGCTTCAGTGACAAGCGCTTTTGAAGGCTGCTTCAGAATGCGGCGAAGTACGGAAGGGGGCCAGGCAAAACGAGGAAACGTCCGAGTTCATCAGACAGATACGGAAAGAGAGGAACGAATGCACCAACGCAGAAGAAAGGAAACATAAGTCACGTCGCTTGAACGGAGCTCTCCGCGACCAAATGCGGAAGAGGCAGAACGACCAGCTTGACGAGTTCATCCTCAAAGGGTCAGCGAAGAAACTACCTGGGCTCCCAAATCGGCCGAATAAAGAAACCGCAGAACCAACATCCGAGATTCAGATGGAAATCTACAATCCGGAAGGGGAGACATAGCTGAAAGTTTCGCAACATTTTGCAAGTCTTTGTATGACGCTCCGCTGGAAGGCTCCGGGGTCACCAGACCAAGCAGTAGAATCCCGGCTGCAGAAGTAAAGGCGGACGTCGCATGGATCATTTCTCGAATGAAGCGGAACAAGGATAGCGCTGAAGACTGCTTGGTGGCCGAGATGTTGAAGGGGGGCGGGAACGACATCATGAACCCCATCGCGGGGTTTTTTGCCGACTTGCTCAACGGCGTGTCCCGGGCCCCGGACTCGTGGCGCACCTCCGAGATTGTCGTTTTATTCAAATTATCCCAGTGCGACCCTACCTAGGAGTTGGAGCCTCTAGGAACAAGTGCTACATATATATATATATATATATATATATATATGTGCACACATATACATTTGTATTTGCATATATAGAAATACATTTCGGACATGCGATAGTACGTCGGGTTTCGTGTCTCCCGGTCGGTGCTATGTGCGAAACCTTGGTGAATCCTAAAGGCTCAAGCTGCCCCACTAAGGGCTCAATCTGGCCCACAGGCGGACAACATGCATGGAACACACGTTCGCACACACATCATATATATACAGCATCAATCGTGGATGCTGTGCTGCGCTCTGCTCTGCTCTGCTCTGCTATGCGATGCGATGCTATGCTATGCTATGGTCTGCTGCGCAATGCTATGCTGGGCTAGGCTAGGCTATGCTATGCTATGCTATGCCGCGCTATGCTATGCTATGCTATGCTATGATATGCTATGCTATGCTGTGCTGTGCTATGCTATGCTATGCTTTTGCCAGGGGGGCGGGAACGATATCATTAATGCCATCGCGGAGGTTTTTGCCGACTTGCTCAACGGCGTGTCCCGGACTCGTGGCGCACCTCCGAGATTGTCGTTTTATTCCACAAAAGCGAGACGACCCTCCCAAATAGCCACAGGCCCATCACGATCGTCCCAGTTTTGAACAAGTTGTACAGCGGCGCACTTTTGATGCGAATGGAAAGTATATCGGACAGATTTTGAACCAGAATAAATTTAATCTCGATCGGGTTATGGGTGTTGCGATTTAGTCCTCTGCGTGCGAACGATCAACGAGAACAGCGTTGAAGGGGGGGACGGTTCGGGTGGCTTCAATGGATTTTGGGAAAGCATTTGACGAAATCATGCACGCGGCTGTGCTTGCGGGTCTGAAGACAACCAGAATCAGTGATAACGAGTTTTGGGCCGTTCTGGATTTGTACACGGACCAGCGGGCGTATTCTCAGCTTGGCCCCGACACGCGAAGCGCATACTTTGACTGTCTTCGTTGCGCTCGGCAAGGAGATCCGATGTCGCCGGCATTATGCGCGAATGTAGTCAGGAACGCGATGGTGCATGTGAAAGAATTGTGAGAGAAGAATGTGTGCGGGAACATCATCGGCGGCGACTTTCGGGAGAAGAACCGGATGGCTTATGAAGCGTTCGCTGATGATGCTGCGATTGGCCAGATCAGAGCAAGTTTTGGTAAGCAAGTCAGCTTCTATACCCGACGAGCTCGCGCGAATCGATTTGCGCGTGAACGCGGACAAATGCAGCGCGCAATGCTCTGGGTAACGTGCCCCCTCAAACTAGAAGGTGCAGTTATTCGGACAAGAGTGTTTTTTTGGTCAGCTGCTTCGTTGGAGTTGCATGTTCGGTGGACAAGTATTAAACATCAAAATTGAAGCTGGCAGGGGATATCATCAACATGCCAGGTGCACGTTGGGTCGCGCGAGCGACTCAACGGAAGGGCCATGCTCGGTGGGGCGGTCAGTCGAGGGGGGTCACTCGGATGCCCAACTCGCTCCCGGCCCGGCTGATTCAGCAGATGTGAAGGCGAGTTAGTGTCGCGTGCAAAACATTCCGGCTGGGGCTCGTGGGCGCACGAGGCCTCGAGTGAGACTGTCTGTCGGGAGAGCGAGCGGGATTTTTGCAGCGCGCGTGGCGATGACCGCGCGACTTCTCGTGCAAACGTTTCGTGTTTCATTTGATTTTGGCGCAGTCGCACGCCCAGTGGCCTCGTTTAAAGGCGTGCGCGCGACCAGCGCGCCTGCCCACCTTTGCAGGGGCGCCGGCTTCCCGGCGACGGCAGCTTCGTTCGTTCGTTCGTTCGGGGGCCCCTTGGATCCTTTCGGGGCCTCCTCAGGGCTGTCTTGGTTTGTTCTGGGGCCTCCCTGGGTAGGGGCGCCGTCCCGAATGCTTGCGCGGAACACTCAGAGCGCCTTGCCGTGCCCAAGAACGCCCAGGAGTTTCTTGGTCTGGGCCATTCAGAACCTTGCGAGCTTTCAGGACTGCATGACCTTTCAGAATTGCGTGAGCCTTGAGGTACTCCACTGCGTGCGGAATGCACGGTGGCGGATGAATTGTTGGTGTGCGACATGCTTTCAGTTTCGCAGACAATTTTGGAAGACGCCTATCTTGTGCCAGCTATGCCCACTACCGACACCCCCCTTTCATCTTTGTCAAAGAACCAGGTGGTGCGCATGCGTTGATATGATAAGTCGTTTCTCGAAGGGCCTCTTCGCAACGCATGCCATGATGGCCACGTGCGCGCGCCACCGCGCCCGCGTGCCGAATCCTTGCAAGCACCCAGTAGAACAAAAAACAAGTTCATCGAACACTAAAACACGCCATTCGCGATGGGCACGATAGAACTCTGACATATTTCTGCGCGCGCTCGTTGACAGGTGAAGGGAACTATTTCTCCATTCTGGCGAATGGGATTATGTTGGCCACGCACGAGGGCTTGTTGAACGCGTTGACATGCGTCCGCGCACTCGCCAACCGTGTTAAATCCCACGCGGGCCACGCGCGCGCGTCTCCGCGCGCGCACGTCGAGTTCCGTCCAGCACCAATTTCTTTTGTAGGGGTTTGAGATGGAGTAAGTTCTGCAACGGAGTCTTAACATTCGGCGGGTTTCATGTGCAAGCTTGTCAAGCATTCATAATTTCAGTCCGTCCGCACGCTCTCACCATCTGCATCGTCCCAATCGTTATCGTCATCGTCAAGAGCTGGACCACGTCAGTGGTCATCGCCGTCATCATCAAAACGGAGTCCTCATCATCGTCATCTTCATTGTCGTTGTTGTCGCCTTCGTTTTCTTCGCTACCACCATCGCCATCATCAGCATCGTCTTCGTCTCCGGTGTCGTCGCCACCATGGGCCGTCGCCCGCCCGAGTCACGGATCTTCATGAGCAGGGTCTGGATGTTATTGCGCTTGTTTAGATTTTTGAGCCAGTCATGATGAGTAGCATCGCCCACGTTCTCTGGAGTTTTACCAAGACGTTGTTGGTGTGTGGGCGGGATGTTTGTTCGATCATTGGAGCTGTCGCCCTCAGTTCTGCCGAATGCATTGCGTCGACGGCAACCCGTGTTGTGCCCTGTGGGTTGCGCATGCTCAATGTTTTGTTATATGCGCTGGCATTGTGTTTTTGAATCCAGTATCATTATCCGTGCTATTGCCAATCATGTGTCTGTCTCTGTTTTGGCCAGAGCGAGTGTTCGACGCCTGAAGTCATCCGAGAAATCGGAAATCAGCTTCTTCCGATAAGCAGCCATGCGCGAGTTGGTGCACATCCAGGGTGGCCAGTGCGGCAACCAGATCGGGGCAATACGGGGCCCAAAAGTATACACCACCACCAATTCCCTCATCCCCTTCCTCTACCAGGAAACAGGAGAGCAAGAGGAGGGTAGATGGGGGGGGAGGAATCGACGTGGTGGTGTATACTCTTGGGGCCCGCAGGCAAAGTTCTGGGAAGTAATCTCTGATGAACATGGTATAGATCCTACAGGCACTTATCATGGAGATTCCGACCTCCAGCTCGAGCGCATCAACGTCTACTACAATGAGGCCACAGGGGGCCGGTATGTTCCGCGCGCCGTGCTGATGGATTTGGAGCCAGGCACCATGGACAGCGTCCGTGCTGGACCTTTTGGCCAGCTTTTCCGTCCGGACAACTTCGTATCCAGTTGTGCTGCCGCGCATATCTGTCATCGCGCTTGGGGAAGATATGTAGCAAGGCTGCAACGCGGCAAAGTAAGCAAGGCATGGCACGACACATATTCCACCACACAGATCGAATCACGCAGTTTGCGCCACACATGTTGCGCAAAGCTGAAGTGTATGAGACACAGGGGTGACATTCGGTTGCCGAAGCTACAAGTTGATTGTCAAAGGGGAGTGGACTAGGAGGGAATCAATATTGCTGGGAGGAGGAGGAGGCGGAGGAGGAGGAGGAGGCGTGGGAGGATGACAAGGCGCTTGTGGATAGGATGGATGATCGAAGACGCTCACGGCGAATCACGGCCGCCCCCTGCCCCTTTGGAAACGGCCGACAGCTGGGCCAGAGTTCGGCCAAGCTATCGGGCCAGTTGTTTCCCGAGTCGGTTTGGAAAGACCTCGGGGAACGCGTGGGGGAGCAAGAAGAGGAGGAGGGGGAAGGATGAGGAACAAAGAGGAGGATGGGAGGAGGAGGAGGAGGAGGAGGAAGAGGAGGAGGAGGAGGAGGCCTCTTGGGCGCCTCTTGGGGCACTCGTGGGGCCTCCTGGGAGCTTTTGATGGCCTCTTGGAGGGTTTTTGGGGGCCTTTGGGGGCTTCTTGGGGGCCTCTTCGGCAGTCTTAGGGCGTTCCTGGCTTGCCTGACGCCGTCGGAAGCCGTCTTGGGGGCCTGTCAGGGTCGTCTTGGGGCCCTCTTGGGGCATATCAGGGGTTCGTAGAGGCCATCTTGGGCGTCTTGGAGGCCTCTTGGGTCGTTTTGGGGCCCTCTTGGGGCCGTCTTGGGGGCCTTTCGGGCTCTCATGGGGCCATTTTGGAGGCCTCTTGGGCGATCTTGGGGGCCTCTTGCGCCGTCTTGAGCCGTCGGAATGCCGAGAAGAAGCAAATGCCAACATCTATCAACACCCTTCAATGAATTTGGTTTCTTCGTGCCGTCCTGGAAGACCTCCTGGGCGCCTTTTGGGCCGTCTAGGAGGCCTCTTGGGGGCCTCTTGGGCCGTCTTGGGCCATCTTGAGGCCATCTTAGACCGTCTTAGGTGCATCTTGGGCCGTCCAGGAGGCATCTTGGGGCCATCTTAGCCGTCTTGGAGGCCATTTTGGCCGTCTTGGAGGCCTCTTGGGCCCTCTTGGGGCCCTCTGGGGGGCCTCTTGGCCGTCATGGGGCCATCTTGGAGGCCTCGTCAGCGATCTTGGGGGCCTCTTGGGCCGTCTTGAGCCATCGGAATGCGGGAAAGAAGCACATGTCAACATCCTTCCAAAACTTACGGAAACACAGATTTTAGCCTCTTCGGGCCCTGCTAGAGGACCTCTTGGAGGCCTCTTGGGCCGTCTAGGAGGCCTCTTGGGGGCCTCTTGGTCCGTCTTAGGCCATCTGGAGGCCATCTCAGGTCGTCTTGGGTGCATCTTGGGCCGTCTTGGAGGCATCTTGGGGCCATCGTAGCCGTCTTGGAGGCCATGTTGGGCGTCTTGGAGGCCTCTTGGGCCGTCTTTGGGCCCTCTTGGGGGAATCTCTGGGGCCTCTTGGGCCGTCATGGGGCCATCTTGGAGGCCTCGTGGGCGATCTTGGGGCGATCTTGGGGGCCTCTTGGGGCGTCTTGAGCCGTCGGAATGTCGAGAGCCTCTTGGGTCGTGTTGGGCCGTCTTGGACGCTTCCTGAGCGAACTTGGAGGTATCTTGGACTCTCTTGGGCCGACTTGGAGGCCGTGTTGAACCATCTCGGGCGGACTTGGAGGCCTTGGACCATCTTGGAGGCCATCTTGGGCCAACGTGGCCATCTTGGAGGCCGTCTTGAGCTGTCTTGGAGGAAACACTGGGGATTGAGCTCCCTTCCGGGACCCCGGCGGGACGGGCCGAAGCCCCAGGGGGAGTTTCTTTGGAAAAGAACCAACACCAAAACCGAAAGGATCTAGCACGCCAGGCACCCCTGTGGCAAGCCAACAGGGGGCGGCGGATGTAATGGCCTTCGGCGCATCCCGCCAGCGTGCTTGGGTTGAGAGCATAAAGCCTGTTGGATGTGGTTGGGATCCCTTGGGGGCCTCTCGGGGTACGGATATTACCATCACTCTGGCATCTACTATTACGACGACGAAAACGACGACTACCTACTACCACTTCTCCTACTCCTACTCCTACTCCTACTCCTACTACTACTACTTCGATTCATACGACTACGACTTGTACTAGCTTGATTTGTACCTTTATATTACTACAGCTACCCCTCATACTACGACTACTACTACTACTATTACTACTACTACTACTGCAGCTACTACTACCACTACTACTACTACTACTACTACTACTACTACTACTACTACTATTACTACTACTACTACTACTACTACTACTACTACTACTACTACTACTACCACTACTCTTACTCTTGCTACTACTACTACTACTACTTCTACTACTACTACTATTACTACTACTACTACTACTACTACTACTACTACTACTACTACTACTACTACTACTACTACTACTACTACTTCCACCACTTCTACGACGACTACTACTACTACTACTACTGCTAGTGTCATTACTATGTACTACTACTTACCGTTACTACTACTATTACAATTACTGCGACCACGACTTCTTCTACTACTACCTCTACTGTGGTACCACTTCTACGATTCTCACGATTACTGCGACCACCATTCGTACTCAGAGTGCCACTACGATCATTAATAGGGCTACGAGTACCATTACTACCACGTAGCACGGTTACTTCGACGACGATGACGACTCCTACTATTACTATTGCCGTTACGATTGCTACTATTACTACTACTACTGTACTGCTACTGCTACTTCTTCTAGTACTACTACAACTACTGCTACGACCACGACAACAGCTACTACTATGACAACAGCTGCTGGCATTATTACTAGTACTGGTACGATGGCTTTTGTTTCTCCCAGTATGATTATTCGTACTACTAATTCGACGCCCACTACTACTACTGCTACTACTACTGCAACTACGACTGCGACAACGACGACCACTACTGCTACCACTACGACGGCGACGAAACCGATTCTTACTATTACTACTCTTTTTACTTCGATACGTATGGCTACGACTGATACTAGTTTTATTTTTCTTGCCAGTACTACTACTACCACTACTGCTACTACGACTGCGACTACTCATACTACGACTTCCACATTTCATTACCATTATTGCTTACTATTTCTTACCGTTACTGCTAATACTTCGACCACTTCTACTTGTTCTTTTCTACTACTTCTACCGTGTATACCACTGTAACGATTATTACGAAGATGACGACCACCATTAGCACCAGGAGTATTACCAGGGTCATTACTAGGGCTATATTTACCATCGCTACCACATAGCACGATTACTTCGACGAGGACGACGGCTTCTACTATGACCGCTACCTTTTTATTAATATATGTTTCCTGTTAGTGCTACTACTACTATTACCATTTCTCTTACTGCTACCCAGACCTCTACTACTACTACTACTACTACTACTACTACTACTACTACTACTACTACTACTACTACTACTACTACTACTACTACTACTACTACTACTACACTACTACTACCACTACAACTACTGCCACTACTACTACTACTACCACTACTACTACTGCTACTACTACTACTACTATCGCTGCTACTACAACTACTGCTACGACTATGGCTACGACTACGGCGACGACTCTTTTTACTACTGCGACCACGACTGCTCATAGTGTCATACCTATTTTCATATTCCTCGTACGTGTACTCTGCTCGTCGTTTCCTGCTAGTGCCATCCCAACTGCGACTACAAATGGCCTGGATAATACACCCTTCGTAACTCGCATCTGTTAAAAGGACAAATCAATGGTGCGCGCGCCCACGCGTACATTCCCCGTTTTTTTTTTTTTTCTTCTCTTCTTTCTCTTTCCGATGCCCAAAGGTTCCACATAAGCCTCCCAGCTTTATTTCGAGAACTTTGCAGAACGACCCCGTCTGAAATATGTACAACAATAACCCCTGCAAGGTGATGCAGTCCCCTGTGCCGCCAGGAAATGTAGCAGTTCATCGGAGAAAGTATGAGAAGTGCGGGACGGCCAGGCTGGCGCCATGGGGCGGGGGGATCCATACCACGTGCCTAGCCCCACCTCCTTTTTTGGAGCAGTTCGCTTCTGGGAAGGCCATGGGCACAGGAACTTGGAAGAGCAAACTGATTTCGTGTTGGCTGGGTGCGCCGGGGGGGCATAGTTTTTGTTTCGCAAGACGCAGCAGTATCGAACAACAAAGGCCCGACACACACACCAACCGATGCAAGCGGTGGCGGATTTGGTCAGACTGGCGCAGGTAATAATTGGGCAAAAGGTCATTATACGGAGGGCGCGGAATTGATCGACAGCGTGTTGGATGTGGTCCGCAAGGAAGCAGAGGGATGCGATTGCCTTCAAGGGTTTCAAATGTGTCATTCACTCGGAGGCGGCACTGGAGCTGGCATGGGGACGTTGCTCATTTCCAAGGTGAGAGAGGAATATCCCGACAGGATCATGGAGACGTTCAGTATCATTCCGTCCCCAAAGGTTAGCGACACAGTCGTGGAACCATATAATGCGGTATTGTCTTTCCACCAGTTGGTGGAGAATGCCGACGAGTGCTTCTTGCTTGACAACGAGGCCCTTTATGACATATGTTTCCGTACTCTGAAGCTGACCACGCCCACGTATGGGGATTTGAACCACTTGGTGAGTGCAGCGATCAGTGGTGTCACTACTTGCTTGCGCTTCCCGGGGCAGCTCAACTGCGACCTGCGCAAGATTGCTGTGAACCTGATACCATTCCCGCGCCTGCACTTTTTCATGACTGGCTTTGCGCCCCTCACGTCCCGTGGCTCCCAGCAGTACCGCGCGCTGACCGTGCCGGAGCTCACGCAACAAATGTTCGATGCCAAAAATATGATGTGTGCAGCTGACCCTCGCCATGGCCGCTACCTGACCGCGGCGGCCCTGTTCCGTGGTCGCATGTCCACCAAGGAGGTCGACGAACAGATGCTCAATGTGCAGAACAAAAACTCTTCATACTTTGTGGAGTGGATTCCTAACAACATCAAGGCTTCAGTGTGCGACATCCCCCCAAAGGGCCTCAAGATGGCAGTTGCCTTCGCAGGTAATTCAACAGCGATTCAGGAAATGTTTAAGCGTGTAGCAGAGTACTTCACGGCGATGTTCCGGCGCAAGGCCTTCCTGCACTGGTACACCGGCGAGGGCATGGACGAGATGGAGTTCACCGAGGCGGAGAGCAACATGAACGACCTTGTCTCGGAGTACCAGCAGTACCAGGATGCCACTGCGGAGGAGGAGGGCGAGTTCGATGAGGAGGAGGACGGCGAACAGTGAGGTGCTTCTCGGGTTTTCCGCGCGCACCTGACCTTGCTTGTTTTTGGCCTTCGAATGACCGACGGGCCGATGCATGCGTGCAAGGACGCAACTCGTGAGAGAATCCAGGAAAACATGTGTCTTCTCGAAAGGAGTCGAAGGAAACATGCTGGTACAATTCAAGTAGCTCTCCATCGAGAGCTGAGTTTTGGGAAGAATCCGCCCTCAATCCCTTCTTCGGTTGCACACTGTTAATTTTATTTTGTCATTCTTGGTAGTCCCATGCAAGAGGCCCATAATCAACAGAGTCAGGACTCACGCTTCAGCAACCCGCCTGCTCGACTTGGCCGCTTCGGCCCGCCTTCCCCACCCGCCCGCTAGGGTCTGCGTGTTTTCTGTTCTTAGTCTCCCTACCTACTTTCTTTCGTTCTCCATCCTTTTCCCTCCCCCTTCCATCCGTCGTCTCTTCCCTTGTTTTAGGGGCTGCGCTACATGCGCGTGGCAGGTAAGGAAGATATACCCCCAAGGGGGATCTGATCGGAAACTAAGAGGGCGGGTACCGAGGGTTTGGGGCAAATGTGATAAATGGCACGCGAGCAGATCGGAACGAAGAGTCTTAAAATGATTGTTGAATTCTCTTCTTCAAAATGACAAATCGTTTTCTCCTCCCAGGGCCCGCACTATTTTTCTAAGGGGAAACTGGGTGTCACCAAACTGGGCCTCTGGCCCCTAGTTTACAACAACCCCTGGTTTGCAACAACAGCAACAGCAACATCAACAACAACAACAACAACAACGGCTCCCGCCAGATACTTCCTCACAATTCATTCCCAAATCGCGCTCTCGCGCGGGATTTCCTCACACGTTGTGCCCCAGAGTCGCGTTCTCGCGCGGGATTTCCGCGCAATTTATTCAGACGCCGCGCTCTCGACACTCAGAAATCACGCTCTCGCTGTGGCCATTCGATTTACTTGGGAATCGTGCTATCGCTCGAGACCTTGCGATTCATGCAGGACGCACGCTTCAGCAACCCGCCTGCCCCTTGTCCCTTCCTTGCATCCGTCCTGTCTTCTTATGCCTCAGAGGCTGCACGAAATACACGTTGCAGGTAATCAAGAAATATTTACCCCTTCTGGGGGTATGATCGAAGACGAAAGGGGAGGGTATCCAGGATTTGGGATATTCGTGCTGAGTGTCACGCGAGCAGATAAGAGCGAACATTGTCAAAATGACGGTTGTTGTTGTACCTTCATTCTTGAACAATAGTTATTGTTCATCACCCCCACGGGTGCATATTTTATCAGGGAACGCCGTACTGCTCAAACTGTGTTATTGGCACCCCGGCTACAACAACAACGGCTCACGCCTGATATTTCCTCACAATTTATTCCAACATCGAGCTCTCGCGCAGGACTTCCACACAGTTTTTCCAGGAATCGCGCTCTCGCGTGGGATTCCCTTGCACTGTATATTCAGCCGCCGCGCCCTCGACACTCAGGAATCATGATCTCCTTTGGGCCTTTCTTACGGTTTACTTTGGAATTGCGCTATCGCTTTGGCCTTCCTCATGATTGTTGTTGTTGTTGCTGTTGTCGCTTCGCATAACCCCACCAGCTCATCCAGAAACGATGCCCCGACGAGTTGCCTTGATCCCGGAGCTCAACACGGACTAGTCATGTTTTGAGAACGAACCCAAAAGAATATTAACCTGGGTTTAGCATGTTCCAGGATTATGCCAGGGTTCATAATGTCCTCCCCGGAGCATTATGAACCTGGGTTTTAATGTTCCGGGACATATTGACCGGGGTTCATACTGTTTCCCCCGGAACAGTTTAAACTTTGGTTTGTACTGTTCCGAGCATATCGACCCCAAGAAGATGTTTACTTGGGTTCATAATGTTTTGGGCATATTGGTTGGGGTTAGTAATTTTCTGGGAATATCGAACCCCGGTTCATTATTTTGGAATGATAATTATAGAGGCTGAGGGGCGTCGCCTGCGCCATAGGCGGATAATCTGAATCCGGATATCTGATTCCGGAATGGTTATCATTATTTTTCTCCCCCAGCCCCGCGCCTCTAAACGGGGATTCATCATGTTAGAATATTGACCCTAGTCCGTTATCTCTAGAACATCATCAACTTGGGTTCGTAAGTTTCTGGGAATAGTGAACTTAGGTTCATTGTTCTGAAATGATAATGATTTGGCGGAAGGGGGGGGCGCCTGAGAAGGAGATTGGACTGGGGTCAACCCTGGTTCAGTATGTCGGAATATCGACCCAAGATGCATTATTCGGGAACGAAAATGATCCAGGGAGGCGGGGGCCACCGATCCATCCACAGGCCCATAATCCAATGGGGGTATCATCTGAACGTAACGAACCTAGGTTTATCATTCCTGGATTTTAATCACGGTCGACGAGGATTTCGCGGCCACTCCCCATGTTTTTGAAAGATTTGACGTCCTCGCCTTTCGAGTTCCCAGCGCTTCAAAATGACCAGAAGCCCCCAAGAGGGCCCGACGACGCCCAAAGAGAGCCCAGGCACAGTCCAGAAAGCCTCCAAGATTGCCTCAGAGACTTCCAAGACGGCCCCAGAGGGGTCCAAGAGAACGCCAAGACAGGCGCCGAGACTGCCAGGAGGCCCCCAACAGGCCCCGAAGAAGCGCGAAGGGACCCCAACAGGCCCCCAGACGTCCCTCCGTCGCCATTTTGGCTCAAGCGATTCCGATCGAGGCTGTCACATCACGCGACGGCCTTGTGAGTTGTCACCCCCTGTCAGACTTCAACTCGATCAAGGAGCCCATCCAACACAATGCGTGAGGCGATCTGCATCCACATTGGGCAGGCGGGTGTGCAGATTGGCAATGCATGCTGGGAGCTTTTCTGCCTTGAGCACGGTATCCAGCCCGACGGCCAGATGCCCTCTGATAAGACGATCGGAGGCGGCGACGATGCCTTCAACACGTTCTTCTCCGAGACTGGCGCTGGCAAGCACGTCCCCCGCTGTGTGATGGTCGACCTAGAGCCCACTGTGGTCGATGAAGTACGCACGGGTACATACCGTCAGCTGTTCCACCCTGAGCAGCTCATCTCGGGCAAGGAGGACGCCGCGAACAACTTCGCGCGAGGCCACTACACCATCGGCAAGGAGATCGTCGACCTCGTCCTGGATCGGATCAGGAAGTTGGCCGACAACTGCACTGGCCTCCAGGGCTTCATGATCTACAATGCCGTCGGCGGAGGCACCGGCTCCGGGCTCGGTTGCCTGATGCTGGAGCGCTTGTCTGTGGATTACGGGAAGAAGACGAAGTGCTCTTTCACTGTGTGGGCGTGCCCGCAGGTCGCCACGGCAGTGGTGGAGCCCTACAACACTGTTCTCTGCGTGCACTCCCTCCTGGAGCACACAGATGTCACCATCATGTATGACAACGAGGCATTGTACGATATATGCCGCCGCAACCTTGACATCGAGCGCCCTACTTACACCAACCTGAACAGGCTGCTGGCGCAGATCATCTCCTCGCTGACTGCGTCGTTGCGCTTCGACGGTGCTCTGAACGTGGACATCACCGAGTTCCAGACGAACTTGGTGCCCTACCCACGCATCCACTTCATGCTCTCCAGCTATGCACCCGTGATCTCTGCGGAGAAGGCGTACCATGAACAGCTGTCAGTGGCGGAGATCACCATGTCCGTCTTCGAGCCCGCATCCATGTTCGTGAAGTGCGACCCTCGTCATGGTAAGTATATGGCATGCTGTATGATGTACCGCGGAGACGTAGTGCCCAAAGATGTGAACGCTGCGGTAGCTACTATAAAGACCAAGCGCACCATTCAATTCGTGGATTGGTGCCCCACGGGCTTCAAGTGCGGCATCAACTATCAGCCTCCCACAGTGGTCCCTGGTGGCGACCTGGCCAAAGTCATGCGCGCCTGCTGCATGATCAGCAACTCCACCGCCATCGCAGAGGTCTTCTCGCGCATCGACCACAAGTTCGACCTCATGTACTCGAAGCGCGCGTTCGTGCACTGGTATGTGGGCGAGGGCATGGAGGAGGGCGAGTTCTCCGAGGCTCGCGAGGACCTGGCGGCGCTGGAGAAGGACTACGAGGAGGTGGGCATCGAGACCGCAGAGGGCGAGGGCGAGGAAGAGGGCTACGGCGACGAGTTCTGAGCAGGCTGCCACTGAGCAGCTGCACGAGGGAGGGTAACCGAGGAGTCGCACTCTCGTTGAGAACGGCGTGCTTCCACGACCTTCCCCAAAGACTTGCGCGTTGTTGCACGCAGCAGGTCGGCGTATTTTCCACGCCGACCTGTGGCTGTTCACTTGTACACCAGATCTTGGCTCGGGGTGGCCGAACTGTTAGACCGCCTCGTGCCCCTGCCACTTTGTCATCGCGCCTGCAGAGAAAACAACCAAAGAGGGCCCCAGGCGCCCCCAAGGGGTCCCCGAAAATGCTGTCAGCAGGCCCCTGGAGGCTTCGCAAAGATACCCCAAGACATGGGCTCGAGCAAGCTTCCAAGAGGCAGCGTTGGTGCTCCTGCGGGCCTCCAGGGCCACTGGGGGGGGAAGGCGGTCACGCGCGGGAGCCCCTCGACCTGCCCAGGAACGTGCGGATCCACAGTCGGGGGCCCATCGCCGATCTAGCGGCGATGTACCGCCGATTCCATTCCAGGTCGCTGCGTCACCCCCTATGCCAGCCCCCCCCATGTCGCTGCCCCTCGAAAGCCAGAACAGGCAAGGACGCGACCATCTTTCTGGGCCTCCCAGATGGGGTCGGAGTAGACGGGGTCGAAGGATCGCCCGATGTGGAGGCCGATGTTCTCCACGCCGACGTCGCCGATGCATCGCCGATGCATCGCCGATGCGTCGGTGATGCATCGGCGACGCACGAGCGATGCATCGACGACGCAGTGGCGCTGCATCGACGAGGCGGGGCGATCGTCCGACCCCATGTGCTCGGAGCCCATCTGGGAGGCTTCTACTCTTCCGGCAACCAACTGCGGGAATCTCTGACGTGGGCCTCCCGGGCCCCAGCAGCGGGCCACGCCCCTCCGCCGTCGCCCGCCCCCGCCGACCGTGCCCCGCGCGCCCCTCGGGGCCCGACGGGGCTCGGCGGGGCTCGGCCGAGCCCCGGGGCGGGCCGCGGCTGCAGCCTGCGCGCGTGGCCGCGGACAGCTGGCACCCGTGCCCATGCGACCTGCATGCTCCTCGGGGGGTGCGTGTGGTCGGATTGGCTCTCGGCTCGAACGGGGGCCCTTGGATCGGAGTCCGACAGCCCTTGCCCATAGCTGCAGGGCAGCCTCCAACCGCGAGGCGCGGGTCAGCGCCCCCCCCCCCCTACAAGTATGAGCGCGCGTCGTCCGCTCGTCACGAGCAGCGGGCCGCACCCCTCTGCTGTCCCCCGCCTCAAGAAAAAACTCAGGGGAGGCCAGTTTCACAGAGGCAGGATTCCGTGATTTTCTAGTGGGCCTCGTTGGATCTGAATGGACGTTGGAGGCAATTCAGGCTCCCCCGCCCGTTTCGGTGAAACTCTCTCGCCTCTCGCCCCCTGGAAGTGATATCCCGCCCCCAGAGCCCTCAGTGCGGGATCCCACCAAGATCCCAAAGCCCAATCAGATCACAACAAGACCCCACTCGGAGTCCAATTTGAGCCCAAGAGGAATGCATGGCTCGATGGTTTCGATGGTTGTCTCGGCCACGTTTGCGTGGTGTCGATGAGAACCCAAGCATGATTCCTCTTCGATGGGAACGCACTACAGGTTTCTCTTCTACATCTCTTACTCCCACCCCTCGCTGACTTATTAAGATGAATCAATTTGTGGGGTGCTATCGATATCCCTCGGCGGTTCCCCCCCTCGGAGATCAATTGATTATTTTCAGTGCTCCTGGTATCGCCCGGGGCATTCTTAGTTGCTTCTCACGGGTATTCGCTTCTCCAGTCATCCAGGATGGCCAGGGCAGGCCGAGAGTCTTCCAATAGCGCGGCTAGGACCGCACTGGCAACGACAGGCCATGAGGCTCTGAAGACGGCCTGGGGGGAGTCGCAAGACGCTGGGTCCAGCGACAAACGCCGGGAGGCATTGATCGCGCCGTTCTGCCGTGGCACGTTCTGCGCCTCTTCCAGCTCAGCCAGCGTGCAGCCTTGACTCAGGCGAGCCATCCCACTTCGCTGCGATTGTCCCTCACGTGAGCGCGCGCGCACTGAGCACCAATTGTCGCTGATCAGACGAGCAAAGACGATGGTCGAGCAACGTGACGCAGCTGTCACTAGAACCTTTGCGCGCAAAGCGCGCGCGTGGTTTGATCACACCTCAGCTCGGTCCTACAAACATATGCGTCTACATCCATACAACAGCCCGTTCATGCATAAATCCACTCGTATATGGTTCTGTACATTCCACCGTACATAATCGATCAATGCTTCTTTCGAGGCAGCCCGAAGACCAGACGTGGTCCAACTGTGTAGCCATCGAGTCAGCCCCACATGTCCATTGACACCGTCTTCAGAGTCGTTTGGAACCTAAGTGCGCGCGTAGCGCGCGCGTGGTGCTGGTCTGTGCGTTTGTGTGTGTATATCGGCGTGTATAATACCTGTCACACAGTACCAGGCGGTGCACACGCGTTGATCTAACACGTGCGTTTTGTCTGAAGCTTTCTCACATGCTATTCTGTTGCCCCTATGCGCGCGCGCCCCCCTCGTGCGCGTGCTCACGTCAACACACACACACACTTATTTTGTTGCAACCTGTCCGCATGTTTCCCTCATGCGAGAAACACGTGTTTTCATGTCTTTTCACCGACCCACTGCCACACTCATGCGCGCTCCCTTTGAGCGGCCAAGAGCAATTGATCGGATCTTCGGCCATGCTGTCGACTGGCCACGCGCGCGCACACGTGGAGCACAGTCAACCAGCACCGCGCTGCCCTCCTACTCCGTGAAACAGTTCCATGCGGGTCACGCGCGCGCGTCGCCTAGTGCAGGCGGCGAAGCCCTGCACTTACATGTTATGTTTTGTGCCTTACATTCTGCGAAACATCGCTTCAGCACGCAGGTGTGCAGCACCATATGGGACCCAGTGGTTGTGCAATACAAGTTCTGTCAGAATTTCGGACGTTCTGCCTCCGCGCACTTCATGAACATCCTCAGCAGCACAATCGTTATCATCATCGCCAGTGTCATCGTTGCCACCGCCGTCAGCATCTCCGTCACCTTCATCGCCATTATCAGAATCGTTGTCGTTACCGCCGCCGTGGTCATCAATCTCATCATTGTCATCGTTGTTGTCGTCGCCTGTTTCGTCAGCGCCACCATCAACATCACCACCCTAGGCACGGACCTGCACGACAATAGCTTTCGCGTCTTCAGTTGTGTTGTACCAACAAGTTGCGGGTGAGTGGGTGGAAAGTTTGCTCGAGGTTTGGAGTTGACGCCTGGCATTTGAGCTCACGGCTCCAAGGCCGTCAACATTAATAATAAAAATGCATTGATTTCTCTCCCTCTTTTCTGGGCTGATGTTTACCCCTCCGGTAGCGCGAGTCAGCACATGCTCGCGTATATGATCGCGGGCTTCGGGTCCTCGGGCCCCCCCCCAGATGGGATGGGTCCCAGGGTCCTCGGCCCCCCCCCCCCAGATGGGATGGGGGGGGGAGGAGGAGGAGGAGGAGGAGGAGGAGCAGGATGAGGAGGAGGAGGAGGACGACGACGACGACGGCAATGACGACGATGACGACTACGACGACGACGACGACGACGACGACGACGACGACGACGACGACGACGACGACGACGACGACGACGACGACGACGACGACACCGACGACGACGACAACGACGACGACAACGACGACGACGACGACGTCGACGTCGACGGCACCACTAGCGGCGGCGGCGACGACGTCAAGCACCAGAGCTGTCAACATGACGCCAATCCCAGCCACACGCCGCACCCACACCGCACCCACAGGGGGGGAGGGATGGGGGGGAGGAGGACCATGGCGTCACCCCGCAAACACACACAGCAACACACCACACCCACACCACATGCACAGGGGGGGGGGAGCCACCACGCCAAGCCCACGCCCACAGGGGGGTGGGCATCGCGCGGGGGGTGGGGGGGCGATGGCATTAGCATTGGGGGGGAGGGCCCAAACCCTCGACCATCTATGGTCATGCGCACGTGTTAATGCAAGGTGCGTGTGCGGTGCGTAACATCGGGTATACTATGGTTTGATAGTCTAGCATTTGTTAGGTATGGGGTGCTATGAGGACACGTGCTTACATTACCTACGCTGGGGTAACATGTATGCCTACATCGTATGTCTGTACGTCATGCGATACACGGCAGGTTAACCGAACACATGTTCGTTCAGCATACGTTCATACAGCATGTTGCACTATCTAATGTCCTTCGGCCCACCGCGCCACTGTGCCTGGGTTGTGGGTCTGAGCCCTCTTGGATGTTCGTTGGGATCTCGTCGGGGCCCCTCGGGGGCCTCCCGAAGGCAGTTTTGAGGTCTCCAGGGGACTGTTTTGGGGTCTCTTGGGACCTCTTTTGGGCCTCTTGGTGGCCTCTTAGGGCCTCGTGGGGGCCTCCTGGGGGCCTCTTGGGGCCTCTTGGGCGCCTCTTGGTGCCTCTCCTGGGTGCCTCTTGGGGCGGAAGGCTAGGATTTTCGGTTTGTGTTCCCCGTTCCCCCTTTTGGGCTCCTCTCGGGGCCCTCTTGAGCAGTCTTGGGCGCCTCTTGGGCCGTCTTGGGGCCTTCCTGGGCCGTCTTCGGGCGGTCTTGGGGGCTTCTTGGGCCGTCTTTGGTCGGTTTTGGGGGACCTCTTGGGACGTCTTGGAGCGTCGGAAGCTCGAAAAGTTGAGAACACCCCAAAACATTTAACAACCGAATGTAAACCAATGATTTTGGCCTCTCGGAGCCCTGTTGGGAAGGCTCTTGGCTTGGGGCTCTCTTGGAGCGCCACGAAGGCTTCCTCGACCGTCTTGGGGCTATCGCGGGCGTCTAGTGAAGCTTTGGGACCGTCTCGGAGGCCCCTTTCAGACGGAAGTGTAGCATATGCCGCTCAGACATAGAGTACGAATGGGCATTAGCAGTTCTACGGCAGGTAATCCCCGGCAGCTGGAAGCAGAGGCAGTTCGTCGTTGGAGTGGGCGCCAATGTTGAAGTGGGCCAGCAGCATGACGAAGACGACCCCCTTTGCATCGGCAAAGTCGGCCTGGGCGCGAGGACTGATTGAATCAATGTCTGGCGTGGGCAACCCAACACGCGACAAATCTATTATGTGTTAGTTGGCCACAGACTCAAAATAGAGTTGCACAATACAGATGGCATTGCCGATTTGATGCAAAAGACGGATCGCAGGGCAGTTTTGGCAAAATATGGCAGTACGCGCGAAAGTGGAGACGGCGGAAGCCTCTGATGGTGGGGCGAGGATGGGACATGACAGCATACAGAGAAGAATGCCATGTGGCACAAGCGGCTGCCTTGCGCGAGGCGTCCGAAGACGTCGCTTCAGTGACAGGCGCTTTTGAAGGCTGCTTCAGAATGCGGCGAAGTACGGAAGGGGGCCAGGCAAAACGAGGAAACGTCCGAGTTCATCATACAGATACGGAAAGAGAGGAACGAATGCACCAACGCAGAAGAAAGGAAACAAAAGTCACGTCGCTTGAACGGATCTCTCCGCGACCAAATGCGGAAGAGGCAGACCGATCAGTTTGACGAGTTCATCCTCGGAGGGTCAGCAAAGAAACTACCTGGGCTCCCAAATCGGCCGACTAAAGAAACCGCAGAACCAACATCCGAGATTCAGATGGAAAGCTACAATCCGGAAGGGGAGACACAGCGGACATTTTCGCAACATGTTGCAAGTCTTTGTATGACGCTCCGCTGGAAGGCTTCGGGGTCACCAGACCAAGCAGTGGGATCCCGGCTGCAGAAGTAAAGGCGGACGTCGCATGGATCATTTCTCGAATGAAGCGGAACGAGGATAGCGCTGAAGACTGCTTGGTGGCCGGGATGTTGAAGGGGGGCGGGAACGATATCATGAATCCCATCGCGGGGGTTTTTGCTGTCTTGCTCAACGGCGTGTCCCGGGCCCCGGACTCGTGGCGCACCTCCGAGATTGTCGTTTTATTCAAATTATCCCAGTGCGACCCTACCTAGGAGTTGGAGCCTCTAGGAACAAGTGCTACACATATATATATATATATATGTATACATATATTTATATTTATACATACATTTGTATCTGCATATCTAGAAAAAACATCTCGGACATGCGATAATACGTCGGGTTTCGTGTCTCCCGGCCGGTGCTATGTGCGAAACCTTGGTGAATCCTAAGGGCTCAAGCTGCCCCACTAAGGGCTCAATATGGCCCACAGACGGACAACATGCATGGAACACGCGTTCGCACACACATCATATATATATAACATCAATAATGGATGCTGTGCTGCGCTGTGCTATGCTATGCTCTGCTCTGCTATGCTATGCGATGCTATTCTATGCAATGCTATGCTATACTATGCTATGATATGCTGCGCAATGCTATGCTGGGATAGGCTAGGCTGTGCTATGCTATGCTATGCTGCGCCATGCTATGCGATGGTATGCTATGCTACGCTATGCTGTGTTATGCTATGCTATGCTATGCTTTTGCCAGGGGGGCGGGAACGATATCATTAATGCCATCGCAGAGGTTTTTGCCGACTTGCTCAACGACGTGTCCTGGGCCCCGGACTCGTGGCGCACCTCCGAGATTGTCGTTTTATTCGAGCGAGACGACCCTCCCAAATAGCCACAGGCCCATCACGATCGTCCCAGTTTTGAACAATTCGTACAGCGGCGCAATTTTGATGCGAATCTATAGTATCTTGGACAGAGTTTGAACGCCAGAAGAAATTTAATCTCGATCGGGTTATGGGCGTTGCGATTTAGTCCTTCGCGTGCGAACGATCGACGAGAACAGCATTGAAGGGGGGGACGGTTTGGGTGGCTTCAATGGATTTGGGGAAAGCATTTGACGAGATCATGCACGCGGCTGTGCTTGCGGGTCTGAAGACAGCCAGAATCAGCGATAACGAGTTTTGGGCCGTTCTGGATTTGTACACGGACCAGCGGGCGTATTTTCAGCTTGGCCCCAACACGCGAAGCACATACTTTGACTGTCTTCGTGGCGTTCGGCAAGGATATCCGATGTCGTCGGCACTATTCGCGAATGCAGTCAAGAACGCGATGGTGCATTTGAACGAGTTGTGAGAGAAGAGTGGGTGCGGGAGCATCATCGGCGGCGACTTTCGGGAGAAGAACCGGATGGCTTATGAAGTGTTCGATGATGATGCCGCGATTGTGGCCAGATCAGAGCAAGTTTTGGTGAACAAGTTAGCTTCTATACCCGACGAGCTCGCGCGAATCGATTTGCGCGTGAACGCGGACAAATACAACGCACAACGCTCTGAAAAACGTGCCCCCTCAAACAAGAAGGTGCAGGTATTCGGACAAGAGTGTTTTTTGGTCAGATGCTTTGTTGGAGTTGCATGTTCGGTGGACAAGTATTAAACATCAAAATGGAAGCTGGCAGGGGATATCATCAACATGCACGCTGGGCCGCGCGAGCGACTCAACGGAAGGGCCGTGCCCGGTGGGGCGGTCAGTCGAGGGGGGGCACTCGGATGCTCAATTCGCCCCCGGCCTGGCTGATTCAGCAGATGTGAAGACGAGTTGGTGTCGCGTGCAAAACGTTCCGGCTGGGGCTCGTGGGCGCACGAGGCCTCGAGTGCGATTGTCTGGCGGGAGAGCGAGCGGGATTTTTGCAGCGCGCGTGGCGATGACCGCGCGACTTCTCGTGCAAACGTTTCGTGTTTCATTTGGTATTGGCGCAGTCGCGCGCCCAGTGGCCTCGTTTAAAGGCATGCGCGCGACCGGCGCGCCTGCCCACCTTCGCAGGGGCGCTGGCTTCCCGGCGACGGCAGCTTCGTTCGTTCGTTCGTCCGGAGGCCTCCTGGATCCTTTCGGGGCCGTCTCAGGGCTGTCTTGGTTTGTTTTGGGGCCTCCCTGGGTAGGGGCGCCGCCCCGAATGCTTGCGCGGAACACTCAGAGCGCCCTGCCGTGCCCAAGAGCGCCCAGGAGTTTCGTGGTCTGGGCCATTCAGAACCTTGCGAGCTTTCAGGACTGCATGACCTTTCAGAATTGCGTGAGCCTTGAGGTACTCCACTGCGTGCGGAATGCACGGTGGCGGATGAATTGTTGGTGTGCGACATGGTTTCGGTTTCGCAGGCAATGTTGGAAGACGCCTCTCTTGTGCCAGCCATGCCCACTACCCACACCCCCTTTCATCTTTGTCAAAGAACCATGTGGTGCGCATGCGTTGATATGATAAGTCGTTTCTCGAAGGGCCCCTTCGCAACGCATGCCATGATGGCCACGTGCGCGCGCCACCGCGCCCGTGCGCCGAATCCTTGCAAGCACCCAGTAGAATATAACAACAAGTCCATCGAACACTAAAACACGCCATCCGATATGGACACGATAGAACTCTGACATATTTTTGCGCGCGCTCGTTGACATGTGAAGAGAACTATTTCTCCATTCTGGCGAATTTGATTATGTTTGCCACGCACGAGCGCTTGTTGAACGCGTTGACATGCCCCCGCGCACTCGCCAACCGTGATAAATCCCACGCGGGCCACGCGCGCGCGCGTCTCCGCGCGTGCACGTCGAGTTCCCTCCAACACCAATTTCTTTGGTAGGGGTTTGATATGGAGTAAGTTATGCAACGGAATCTAAACATTCGGCGGGTTTCATTTGCAAGCTTGTTAAGCATCCATAATTTCAGTCCTCCCGCACGCTCTCACCATCTGCATCGTCCCAGTCGTTATCGTCATCGTCAAGAAATGGACCACGTCAATGGTCACCGCCGTCATCATCAAAACGAAGTCCTCAGCATCGTCATCTTCATTGTCGTTGTTGTCGCCTTCGTTTTCTTCGCTACCACCATCGCCATCATCAGCATCGTTTTCGTCTCCGGTGTCGTCGCCACCATGGGCCGTCGCCCGCCCGAGTCACGGATCTTCATGAGCAGGGTCTGGATGTTATTGCGCTTGTTGAGATTTTTGAGCCAGTCATGATGAGTAGCATCTCCCACGTTCTCTGGAGTTTTACCAAGACGTTGTTGGTGTGTGGGCGGGATGTTTGTTTGATCATTGGAGCTGTCGCCAGTTCTGCCGAATGCATTGCGTCGACGGCAACCCGTATTGTGCCCTGTGGGTTGCGCATGTTGCATGTTTTGTTGTATGCGTTGGCATTATGGTTTTGGACCCAGTATCATTATCCGTGTTACTGCGAATCATGTGTCTGTCTCTGTTTTGGCCAGAACGAGTGTTCGACGCCTGAAGTCATCCGAAAAATCGGCAATCAGCTTCTTCCGATAAGCAGCCATGCGCGAGTTGGTGCACATCCAGGGTGGCCAGTGCGGCAACCAGATCGGGGCAATACGGGGCCCAAAAGTATACACCACCACCAATTCCCTCATCCCCTCCTTCTACCAGGAAACAGGAGAGCAAGAGGAGGGTAGATGAGGGGGGAGGAATCGACGTTGTGGTGTATACTCTTGGGGCCCGCAGGCAAAGTTCTGGGAAGTAATCTCTGATGAACATGGTATAGATCCTACAGGCACTTATCATGGAGATTCCGACCTCCAGCTCGAGCGCATCAACGTCTACTACAATGAGGCCACAGGGGGCCGTTATGTTCCGCGCGCTGTGCTGATGGATTTGGAGCCAGGCACCATGGACAGCGTCCGTGCAGGACCTTTTGGCCAGCTTTTCCGTCCGGACAACTTCGTATACAGTTGTGCTGCCGCGCATATCCGTCATCGCGCTTGGGGAAGATATGTAGCAAGGCTGCAACGCGGCAAAGTAAACAAGGCATGGCACGACACATATTCCACCACACATATCGAATCACGCAGTTTGCGCCACACATGTTGCACAAAGCTGAAGTGTATGAGACACAGGGGTGACATTCGGTTGCCGAAACTACAAGTTGATTGTCAAAGGGGAGTGGACGAGGAGGGAATCAATATTGTTGGGAGGAGGAGGAGGAGGTGGAGGAGGAGGAGGAGGCGTGGGAGGATGACAAGGCGCTTGTGGATAGGATGGATGATCGAAGACGCTCACGGCGAATCACGGCCGCCCCCTACCCCTTTGGAAACGCCTCTGTGGCCGACAGCTGGGCCAGAGCTTGGCCAAGCTATCGGGCCAGTTGTTTCCCGAGTCGGTTTGGAAAGACCTCGGGGAACGCGTGGGGGAGCACCAAGAGGAGGAGGGGGAAGGATGAGGAACAAAGAGGAGGATGGGAGGAGGAGAGGAGGAGGAGGAGGAGGAGGAGGAAGGAGGAGAGGAGGAGGAGAGGAGGAGGAGGAGGAGGAGGAGGAGGAGGAGGAGGAGGAGGAGGCGGAGGAGGAGGAGGAGGAGGAGGAGGAGGAGGAGGAGGAGGAGGAGGAGGAGGAGGAGGAGGAGGAGGAGGCCTCTTGGGCGCCTCTTGGGGCACTCGTGGGGCCTCCTGGGAGCTTTCTGGGGGCCTCTTGGAGGGTTTTTGGGGGCCTTTGGGGGCTTCTTGGGGGCCTTTTTGGCAGTCTTAGGGCGTTCCTGGCTTGCCTGACGCCGTCGGAAACCGTCTTGGGGGCCTGTCAGGGTCGTCTTGGGGCCCTATTGGGGCATATCAGGGGTTCGTAGAGGCCATCTTGGGCGTCTTGGAGGCCTCTTGGGTCGTTTTGGGGCCCTCTTGGGGCCGTCTTGGGGGCCTTTCGGGTCGTCTTGGGGCCATTTTGGAGGCCTCTTGGGCGATCTTGGGGGCCTCTTGCGCCGTCTTGAGCCGTCGGAATGCCGAGACGAAGCAACTGCCAACATCTATCAAAACCCTTCAATGAATTTGGTTTCTTCGTGCCGTCCTGGAAGACCTCCTGGGCGCCTTTTGGGCCGTCTAGGAGGCCTCTTGGGGGCCTCTTGGGCCGTCTTGGGCCATCTTGAGGCCATCTTAGACCGTCTTAGGTGCATCTTGGGCCGTCCAGGAGGCATCTTGGGGCCATCTTAGCCGTCTTGGAGGTCATTTTGGCCGTCTTGGAGGCCTCTTGGGCCCTCTTGGGGCCGTCTGGGGGGCCTCTTGGGCCGTCATGGGGCCATCTTGGAGGCCTCGTCAGCGATCTTGGGGGCCTCTTGGGCCGTCTTGAGCCATCGGACTGCGGGAAAGAAACACATGCCAACATCCTTCCAAAACTTACGGAAACAAAGATTTTAGCCTCCTTGGGCCCTGCTAGAGGACCTCTTGGAGGCCTTTTGGGCCGTCTAGGAGGCTTCTTGGGGGCCTCTTGGTCCGTCTTAGGTCATCTGGAGGCCATCTCAGGTCGTCTTGGGTGCATCTTGGGCCGTCTTGGAGGCATCTTGGGGCTATCTTAGCCGTCTTGGAGGCCATGTTGGGCGTCTTGGAGGCCTCTTGGGCCGTCTTTGGGCCCTCTTGGGGGCATCTCTGGGGCCTCTTGGGCCGTCATGGGGCCATCTTGGAGGCCTCGTGGGCGATCTTGGGGCGATCTTGGGGGCCTCTTGGGGCGTCTTGAGCCGTCGGAATGTCGAGAAGAAACAAATGCCAAAATCATTCAAAAGCCGATGGACAGTTAATCATTTTGGCCTCTTCGGGTCCTCCTGGAGGACCTTGGAGGCCTCTTGGGTCGTGTTGGGCCGTCTTGGAGGCTTCCTGAGCGAACTTGGAGGTATCTTGGACTCTCTTGGGCCGACTTGGAGGCCGTGTTGAACCATCTTGGGCGGACTTGGAGGCCATCTTGGACCATCTTGGAAACCATCTTGGGCCAACGTGGCCATCTTGGAGGCCAGCTTGAGCCGTCTTGCAGGAAACACTGGGGATTGAGCTCCCTTCCGGGACCCCGGCGGGACGGGCCGAAGAAGCCCCAGGGGGAGTTTCTTTGGAAAAGAACCAACACCAAAACCGAAAGGATCTAGCACGCCAGGCACCCCTGTGGCAAGCCAACAGGGGGCGGCGGATGTAATGGCCTTCGGCCCATCCCGCCAGCGTGCTTGGGTTGAGAGCATAAAGCCTGTTGGATGTGGTTGGGATCCCTTGGGGGCCTCTCGGGGTACGGATATTACCATCACTCTGACATCTACCATTACGACGACTAAAACGACCACTTCTACTACTACTACTCCTACTCCTACTCCTACTACTACTTACTTACTACGACTATTCTTACGACTACTTGATTTTTACCTTATATTACTACAACTACCCCTATACTACTACTACTACTACTACTACTACTACTACTACTACTACTACTACTGCTACTGCTACTGCTACTGCTACTGCTACTGCTACTGCTACTGCTACTACTACTACTACTACTAACTACTACTACTACTACTACTACTACTACTACTACTACTACTACTACTACTACTACGACTACTACTACTACTACTACTACTACTACTACTACTACTACTACTACTACTACTACTACTACTACTACTACTACTACTACTACTACTACTACTACTACTACTACTACTACTACTACTACTACTACTACTACTACTACTACTACTACTACTACTACTACTACTACTACTACTACTACTACTACTGCTGCTGCTGCTACTACTACTACTACTACTATTACTACTACTATTACTGCAGCTACTCCTACCACTACTACTACTACTGCTACTACTATTTCCACCACTTCTACGACTACTTCTACTACGGCTACTATCATTACTACGTACTACTACTACTTACCGTTACTACTACTACTACTATTTCAATTGCTGCGACCACGACTTCTTCTACTACTACTTCTACTGTGGTACCACTGTTACGATTATCACGATTACTGCGGCCACCATTAGTACTCCGAGTGCCACTACGATCATCCATAGGGCTAGGACTACCATTACTACCACGTAGCACGGTTACTTCGACGACGATGACGACTCCTACTATTACTATTGCCATTACTACTGCTACTACTACTACTACTGCTACTGCTACTGCTACTTCTTCTAGTACTACTACAACTACTGCTACGACCACGACAGCAGCTACTACTACGACAACAGCTGCTGGCATTATTACTACTACTGGTACGGTGGCTTTTGTTTCTTCCAGTATGATTATTCGTATTACTAATTCGACGCCCTCTAATACTACTACTGCTGCTACTACTGCAACTACGACTGCGACAACGACGACCACTACTGCTACCACCACGACGGCGACGAAACCGATTCTTACTATTACTACTCCTATTACTTCGATACGTATGGCTACGCCTAATACTAGTTTTATTTTTCTTGTCAGTACTACTACTGCCACTACTGCTACTACGACTGCGAATGCTCATACTACGACTTCCACATTTCATTACCACTATTGCTAACTATTTCTTACCGTTGCTGCTGATACTACGACCACTTCTACTTGTTCTTTTCTACTACGTCTACCGTGGATACCACTATAACGATTATTACGAAGGTGACGGCCACCATTAGCACCAGGAGTATTACCAGGGTCATTAATAGGGCTATATCTACCATCGCTACCACATAGCACGATTACTTCGACGAGGACGACGACTTCTACTATGACCGCTACCTTTTTGTTCATATATGTTTTCTGTTAGTACTACTACTACTATTACCATTTCTCTTACTGCTACCCAGACGACTACTACTACTACTACTACTACTACTACTACTACTACTACTACTACTACTACTACCACTACTACTACTACTACTACTACTACTACTACTACTACCACCACCACCACTACTACTACTACTACTACTCCTACTACTACTACTACTCCTACTACAACTACTGCCACTACTACTACTACTACTACTACTACTACTACCACTACTACTACTACTGCTGCTACTACTACTATTACCACTGCTACTACAACTACTACTACGGCTATGGCTACGACTACGGTGACTACTATTTTTTACTACTGCGACCACGACTGCTCATAGTGTCATAACTATTTTCATATTCCTCGTACGTGTACTCTGCTCGTCATTTCCTGCTAGTGCCATCCCAACTGCGACTACACATGGCCTGGATAATACACCCTTCGTAACTCGCATCTGTTAAAAAGGACAAATCGATGGTGCGCGCGCCCACGCGTACATTCCCCGTTTTTTTTTTTTTTTTTTTTTTTTTTTTTTTTTTTTTTTTTTTTTTTCCGAAGCCCAAAGGTTCCACATAAGCCTCCCAGCTTTATTCTTAGGCTTACGCCACACCGCCGACCCCTTGTTTATGCCAATCTGGGGGTAGTAGAAGGTGCGAAGGGGTGAAAAGGCGAGTGATATTTGTTTGGTGTCTGTTCGCCGCCACCGCCAGAGGGTCTCGGGCAGTTCCGCGGGGAGGTCCGAGCGGACAGCGACACTGCGAGTTTTGGAGCCACTCGGGGGCCGTTTCGGAGCCTCTGGGGTGCTTCTTGGGGGTTCCTTGGGGCGTCTGGGCGGCCTCGTGAGGGCCTCTGGGGGCCTCTTGGGGCACTCTTGGGGCCCCCTGGGGCTCCTGGGGGCAGAAAGCTAGAGTTTCAACATGTTTGGTCGCCCTCTTGGGCCCCTCTTGGTGCCGTCTTGGAGCCCTCTTGGGCCGTCTTGGGGACCTCTTGGGCCGTCTTGGGGCCGTCTTGGGCCGTCTGGAGGCCGTCTTGGGGGCCTCTTGGGCCATCTTGGGGCTATCTTTGGGGCCTCTTTGCCCGTCTTGGAGCGTCGGGAAGCCGGAAAGGCGGAAAAGCAAAAAACACAGAAAAACACTCTGGAAAATCAGCAATGTTTGACTCTTTGGGCCCTCTTGGGAGGCTCATTTGGGACCTCAGGGGCCGTCTTGGAGACCTCTTGGCCCGTCTTGGGGCCATCGTGGGCGTCTTGGAGCGGTCGTTTGGCTTCTCGGAGCCTTCGTGGGCCGTCTTGGAGGCCTCTTGGGGGCTTCGTGGCCCGTCTTGAAGCCCTCTTGGGCCAGGAAAAGCCCCGTGGAACGCTCGTCCCGGACCCCCCCCCCTCCTCCAAATCGACCGGACCGGGCTCCCGGGGGAGGGGTTTGGGGAGGGGGGAGCATCTCACACGCCGATGATCCCCAAGGGGTCGGCGGATTTCGAGAACTTTGCAGAACGACCCCGTCTGAAACATGTGCAACAATAACCCCTGCAAGGTGATGCAGTCCCCTGTGCCGCCAGGAAATGTAGCAGTTCATCGGAGAAAGTATGAGAAGTGCGGGACGGCCAGGCTGGCGCCATGGGGCGGGGGGATCCATACCACGTGCCTAGCCCCACCTCCTTTTTTCGATCAGTTCTCTTCTGGGAAGGCCATGGGCACAGGAACTTGGAAGAGCAAACTGATTACGTGTTGGCTGGGTGCGCCGGGGGGGGCATAGTTTTTGTTTCGCAAAACGCAGCAGTATCAAACAGCAAAGGCCCGACACACACCAACCGATGCAAGCGGTGGCGGATTTGGTCAGACCGGCGCAGGTAATAATTGGGCAAAAGGTCATTATACGGAGGGCGCGGAATTGATCGACAGCGTGTTGGATGTGGTCCGCAAGGAAGCAGAGGGATGTGATTGCCTTCAAGGGTTTCAAATGTGTCATTCACTCGGAGGCGGCACTGGAGCTGGCATGGGGACGTTGCTCATTTCCAAGGTGAGAGAGGAATATCCCGACAGGATCATGGAGACGTTCAGTATCATTCCGTCCCCAAAGGTTAGCGACACAGTCGTGGAACCATATAATGCCGGTATTGTCTTTCCACCAGTTGGTGGAGAATGCCGACGAGTGCTTCTTGCTTGACAACGAGGCCCTTTATGACATATGTTTCCGTACTCTGAAGCTGACCACGCCCACGTATGGGGATTTGAACCACTTGGTGAGTGCAGCGATCAGTGGTGTCACTACTTGCTTGCGCTTCCCGGGGCAGCTCAACTGCGACCTGCGCAAGATTGCTGTGAACCTGATACCATTCCCGCGCCTGCACTTTTTCATGACTGGCTTTGCGCCCCTCACGTCCCGTGGCTCCCAGCAGTACCGCGCGCTGACCGTGCCGGAGCTCACGCAACAAATGTTCGATGCCAAAAATATGATGTGTGCAGCTGACCCTCGCCATGGCCGCTACCTGACCGCGGCGGCCCTGTTCCGCGGTCGCATGTCCACCAAGGAGGTCGACGAACAGATGCTTAATGTGCAGAACAAAAACTCTTCATACTTTGTGGAGTGGATTCCAAACAACATCAAGGCTTCTGTGTGCGACATCCCCCCAAAGGGCCTCAAGATGGCAGTTGCCTTCGCAGGTAATTCAACAGCGATTCAGGAAATGTTTAAGCGTGTAGCAGAGTACTTCACGGCGATGTTCCGGCGCAAGGCCTTCCTGCACTGGTACACCGGCGAGGGCATGGACGAGATGGAGTTCACCGAGGCGGAGAGCAACATGAACGACCTTGTCTCGGAGTACCAGCAGTACCAGGATGCCACTGCGGAGGAGGAGGGCGAGTTCGATGAGGAGGAGGACGGCGAACAGTGAGGTGCTTCTCGGGTTTTCCGCGCGCACCTGACCTTGCTTGTTTTTGGCCTTCGAATGACCGACGGGCTGATGCATGCGTGCAAGGACGCAACTCGTGAGAGAATCCAGGAAAACATGTGTCTTCTCGAAAGGAGTCGAAGGAGACATGCTGGTACAATTCAAGTAGCTCTCCATCGAGAGCTGAGTCTTGGGAAGAATCCGCCCTCAATCCCTTCTTCGGTTGCACATTGTTAATTTTAGTTTGTCATTCTTGGTAGTCCCATGCAAGAGGCCCATCATCAACAGAGTCAGGACTCACGCTTCAGCAACCCGCCTGCTCGACTTGGCCGCTTCGGCCCGCCTTCCCCACCCGCCGCTAGGGTCTGCGTGTTTTCTGTTCTTAGTCTCCCTACCTACTTTCTTTCGTTCTCCATCCTTTTCCCTCCCCTTTCCATCCGTCGTCTCTTCCCTTGTTTTAGGGGCTGCGCTACATGCGCGTGGCAGGTAAGGAAGATATACCCCCAAGGGGGATATGATCGGAAACTAAGAGGGCGGGTACCGAGGGTTTGGGGTAAATGTGATAAATGGCACGCGAGCAGATCGGAACGAAGAGTCTTAAAATGACTGTTGAATTCTCTTCTTCAGAATGACAAATCGTTTTCTCCTCCCAGGGCCCGCACTATTTTTCTAAGGGGAAACTGGGTGTCACCAAACTGGGCCTCTGGCCCCTGGTTTACAACAGCCCCTGGTTTGCAACAACAGCAACAGCAACATCAACAACAACAACAACAACAACAACGGCTCCCGCCAGATACTTCCTCACAAGTCATTCCCAAATCGCGCTCTCGCGCGGGATTTCCTCACACGTTGTGCCCCAGAGTCGCGTTCTCGCGCGGGATTTCCGCGCAATTTATTCAGACGCCGCGCTCTCGACACTCAGAAATCACGCTCTCGCTGTATCCATCCGATTTACTTGGGAATCGTGCTATCGCTCGAGACCTTGCGATTCATGCAGGACGCACGCTTCAGCAACCCGCCTGCTCTTTGTCCCTTCCTTGCATCCGTCCTGTCTTCTTATGCCTCAGAGGCTTCACGAAATACACGTTGCAGGTAATCAAGAAATATTTACCCCTTCTGGGGGTATGATCGAAGACGAAAAGGGAGGGTATCCAGGGTTTGGGATATTCGTGCTGAGTGTCACGCGAGCAGATAAGAGCGAACATTGTCAAAATGATGGTTGCTGTTGTACCTTCATTCTTGAACAATAGTTACTGTTCATCACCCCCACGGGTGCATATTTTATCAGGGAACGCCGTACTGCTCAAACTGTGTTATTAGCACCCCAGCTACAACAACAACGGCTCACGCCTGATACTTCTTCACAATTTATTCCAACATCGAGCTCTCGCGCAGGACTTCCACACAGTTTTTCCAGGAATCGCGCTCTCGCGTTGGATTTCCTTGCGCTATATATTCAGACGCCGCGCCCTCGACACTCAGGAATTATGCTCTCCTTTGGGCCTTTCTTACGGTTTACTTTGGAATTGTGCTATCGCTTTGGCCTTCCTCATGATTGTTGTTGTTGTTGTTGCTGTTGTCGCTTCGCATAACCCCACCAGCTCATCCAGAAACGATGCCCCGACGAGTTGTCTTGATCCCGGAGCTCAACACGGACTAGTCATGTTTTGAGGACGAACCCAAAATAATATTAACCTGGGTTTAGCATGTTCCAGGATTATGCCAGGGTTCATAATGTCCTCCCCGGAGCATTATGAACCTGGGTTTTAATGTTCCGGTACATATTGACCGAGGTTCATAATTTTTCCCCCGGAACAGTTTAAACCTTGGTTTGTAATGTTCCGAGCATATCGACCCCAAGAAGATGTTTACTTGGGTTCATAATGTTTTGGGCATATTGGTTGGGGTTAGTAATGTTTCGGGAATATCGAACCCCGGTTCATTATTTTGGAATGATAATTATAGAGGCTGAGGGGCGTCGCCTGCGCCATAGGTGGATCATCTGAATCCGGATTTCTGACTCCAGAATGATTATCATTATTTTTCTCCCCCAGCCCCGCGCCTCTAAACGGGGATTCATCATGTTAGAATATTGACCCTAGTCCGTTATCTCTAGAACATCATAAACTGGGGTTCGTAATGTTCTGGGAAGACTGAACTTAGGTTAATTATTCTGAAATGATAATGATCTGGCGGAAAGGGGGGGCGCCTGAGAAGGAGATTGGACTGGGGCCAACCCTGGTTCAGTATGTCGGAATATCGACCCCAGATGCATTATTCGGGAACGAAAATGATCCAGGGAGGCGGGGGCCACCGATCTATCCACAGGCCCATAATCCAATGGGGGTATCATCTGAACGTAACGAACCTAGGTTTATCATTCCTGGATTTTAAATCACGGTCGACGAGGATTTCGCGGCCACTCCCCATGTTTTTGAAAGATTTGACGTCCTCGCCTTTCGAGTTCCCAGCGCTTCAAAATGACCAGAAGCCCCCAAGGGGGCCCGACGACGCCCAAAGAGAGCCCAGGCACAGCCCATAAAGCCTCCAAGATTGCCTCAGAGACTTCCAAGACGGCCCCAGAGGGGTCCAAGAGAACGCCAAGACAGGCACCGAGACTGCCAGGAGGCCCCCAACAGGCCCCGAAGAAGCGCGAAGGGACCCCAAGAGGCCCCCAGACGTCCCTCCGTCGCCATTTTGGCTCAAGCGATTCCGATCGAGGCTGTCACATCACGCGACGGCCTTGTGAGTTGTCACCCCCTGTCAGACTTCAACTCGATCAAGGAGCCCATCCAACACAATGCGTGAGGCGATCTGCATCCACATTGGGCAGGCGGGTGTGCAGATTGGCAATGCATGCTGGGAGCTTTTCTGCCTTGAGCACGGTATCCAGCCCGACGGCCAGATGCCCTCTGATAAGACGATCGGAGGCGGCGACGATGCCTTCAACACGTTCTTCTCCGAGACTGGCGCCGGCAAGCACGTCCCCCGCTGTGTGATGGTCGACCTAGAGCCCACTGTGGTCGATGAAGTACGCACGGGTACATACCGTCAGCTGTTCCACCCTGAGCAGCTCATCTCGGGCAAGGAGGACGCCGCGAACAACTTCGCGCGAGGCCACTACACCATCGGCAAGGAGATCGTCGACCTCGTCCTGGATCGGATCAGGAAGTTGGCCGACAACTGCACTGGCCTCCAGGGCTTCATGATCTACAATGCCGTCGGCGGAGGCACCGGCTCCGGGCTCGGTTGCCTGATGCTGGAGCGCTTGTCTGTGGATTACGGGAAGAAGACGAAGTGCTCTTTCACTGTGTGGGCGTGCCCGCAGGTCGCCACGGCAGTGGTGGAGCCCTACAACACTGTTCTCTGCGTGCACTCCCTCCTGGAGCACACAGATGTCACCATCATGTATGACAACGAGGCATTGTACGATATATGCCGCCGCAACCTTGACATCGAGCGCCCTACTTACACCAACCTGAACAGGCTGCTGGCGCAGATCATCTCCTCGCTGACTGCGTCGTTGCGCTTCGACGGTGCTCTGAACGTGGACATCACCGAGTTCCAGACGAACTTGGTGCCCTACCCACGCATCCACTTCATGCTCTCCAGCTATGCACCCGTGATCTCTGCGGAGAAGGCGTACCACGAACAGCTGTCAGTGGCGGAGATCACCATGTCCGTCTTCGAGCCCGCATCCATGTTCGTGAAGTGCGACCCTCGTCATGGTAAGTATATGGCATGCTGCATGATGTACCGCGGAGACGTAGTGCCCAAAGATGTGAACGCTGCGGTAGCTACTATAAAGACCAAGCGCACCATTCAATTCGTGGATTGGGCTCCCCGGCTGCGGCTACGGCCGCGGCCCGGCAGGGGGAGGCTCGGAGGTGGCTGTACCCATGTCCTTGCCACACTGCTGCCGAAAGTCCAACCTCACCTACCGACGAAAGTCTGGCGGGGAGCGGGAACGATCCCACGGCGCTGTGGCAGCCTCTCCCGCCCCCTCCGGCTCGCCGGAGGTTTCGCGGGCTACCCTCCGGGGTGGAAGGGCGCCAACGGCACGTGGTTGACGCGGCTAACGAGGCTCTGGCGGGCGTGGCTCTGGGCTGGAGAAGTACCTCGCACGAGGGACTGTCTGCTGACCGGGGTCATATGCTGACGAGGTGCCCGGGGTGTTCCCAGCTTCGGGATTCTCGGTGCTCGTGCTACCGCGTAGGCAGTGGCGGGGGGGCCAAAGACATGCAGGGAATTCAACCGGCCCGCGGGTCGCAGCCTGACAGGTGGGTGGGCCAGCCGACCTACATGTGGGAGTGCCTTATAAAGCTCCGGCCTACAGGAATGCCCATGTGCGGACCGTCGCGCTGGTTGCCGTTACAGCTCCTGGCCTGCTCCGAACTGCTACAGAATCCAGAAAGGGGTTCTACGGGATGGGCGCCCCGTAACAGATCCAGCACGCAGTGGGGGTCTCTACTGCGTCAACGAGATCCCCCCCGGAGGGCCGACCCGAGGCCGCGGCGCGGCCCGCACGCGGGTGCTTATTCGTGGATTGGTGCCCCACGGGCTTCAAGTGCGGCATCAACTATCAGCCTCCCACAGTGGTCCCTGGTGGCGACCTGGCCAAAGTCATGCGCGCCTGCTGCATGATCAGCAACTCCACCGCCATCGCAGAGGTCTTCTCGCGCATCGACCACAAGTTCGACCTCATGTACTCGAAGCGCGCGTTCGTGCACTGGTATGTGGGCGAGGGCATGGAGGAGGGCGAGTTCTCCGAGGCTCGCGAGGACCTGGCGGCGCTGGAGAAGGACTACGAGGAGGTGGGCATCGAGACCGCAGAGGGCGAGGGCGAGGAAGAGGGCTACGGCGACGAGTTCTGAGCAGGCTGCCACTGAGCAGCTGCACGAGGGAGGGTAACGGAGGAGTCGCACTCTCGTTGAGAACGGCGTGCTTCCACGACCTTCCCCAAAGACTTGCGCGTTGTTGCACGCAGCAGGTCGGCGTATTTTCCACGCCGACCTGTGGCTGTTCACTTGTACACCAGATCTTGGCTCGGGGTGGCGGCACTGTTAGACCGCCTCGTGCCCCTGCCACCTTGTCATCGCGCCTGCAGAGAAAACAACCAAAGAGGGCCGGCCCCAGGCGCCCCCAAGGGGTCCCCGAAAATGCTGTCAGCAGGCCCCTGGAGGCTTCGCAAAGATACCCCAAGACATGGGAGAGGCAGCGTTGGTGCTCCTGCGGGCCTCCAGGGCCACTGGGGGTGGAAGGCGGTCACGCGCGGGAGCCCCTCGACCTGCCCAGGAACGTGCGGATCCACAGTCGGGGGCCCATCGCCGATCTAGCGGCGCCGATTCCATTCCAGGTCGCTGCGTCACCCCCTATGCCAGCCCCCCCCATGTCGCTGCCCCTCGAAAGCCAGAACAGGCAAGGACGCGACCATCTTTCTGGGCCTCCCAGATGGGGTCGGAGTAGACGGGGTCGAAGGATCGCCCGATGTGGAGGCCGATGTTCTCCACGCCGACGTCGCCGATGCATCGCCGATGCGTCGGTGATGCATCGGCGACGCACGAGCGATGCATCGACGACGCAGTGGCGCTGCATCGACGAGGCGGGGCGATCGTCCGACCCCATGTGCTCGGAGCCCATCTGGGAGGCTTCTACTCTTCCGGCAACCAACTGCGGGAATCTCTGACGTGGGCCTCCCGGGCCCCAGCAGCGGGCCACGCCCCTCCGCCGTCGCCCGCCCCCGCCGACCGTGCCCCGCGCGCCCCTCGGGGCCCGACGGGGCTCGGCGGGGCTCGGCCGAGCCCCGGGGCGGGCCGCGGCTGCAGCCTGCGCGCGTGGCCGCGGACAGCTGGCACCCGTGCCCATGCGACCTGCATGCTCCTCGGGGGGTGCGTGTGGTCGGATTGGCTCTCGGCTCGAACGGGGGCCCTTGGATCGGAGTCCGACAGCCCTTGCCCATAGCTGCAGGGCAGCCTCCAACCGCGAGGCGCGGGTCAGCCCCCCCCCCCCCCCCTACAAGTATGAGCGCGCGTCGTCCGCTCGTCACGAGCAGCGGGCCGCACCCCTCTGCTGTCCCCCGCCTCAAGAAAAAACTCAGGGGAGGCCAGTTTCACAGAGGCAGGATTCCGTGATTTCCTAGTGGGCCTCGTTGGATCTGAATGGACGTTGGAGGCAATTCAGGCTCCCCCGCCCGTTTCGGTGAAACTCTCTCGCCTCTCGCCCCCTGGAAGTGATATCCCGCCCCCAGAGCCCTCAGTGCGGGATCCCACCAAGATCCCAAAGCCCAATCAGATCACAACAAGACCCAACTCGGAGTCCAATTTGAGCCCAAGAGGAATGCATGGCTCGATGGTTTCGATGGTTGTCTCGGCCACGTTTGCGTGGTGTCGATGAGAACCCAAGCATGATTCCTCTTCGATGGGAACGCACTACAGGTTTCTCTTCTACATCTCTTACTCCCACCCCTCGCTGACTTATTAAGATGAATCAATTTGTGGGGTGCTATCGATATCCCTCGGCGGTTCCCCCCCTCGGAGATCAATTGATTATTTTCAGTGCTCCTGGTATCGCCCGGGGCATTCTTAGTTGCTTCTCACGGGTATTCGCTTCTCCGGTCATCCAGGATGGCCAGGGCAGGCCGAGAGTCTTCCAATAGCGCGGCTAGGACCGCACTGGCAACGACAGGCCATGAGGCTCTGAAGACGGCCTGGGGGGAGTCGCAAGACGCTGGGTCCAGCGACAAACGCCGGGAGGCATTGATCGCGCCGTTCTGCCGTGGCACGTTCTGCGCCTCTTCCAGCTCAGCCAGCGTGCAGCCTTGACTCAGGCGAGCCATCCCACTTCGCGGCGATTGTCCCTCACGTGAGCGCGCGCGCACTGAGCACCAATTGTCGCTGATCGGACGAGCAAAGACGATGGTCGAGCAACGTGACGCAACTGTTACTAGAACCTTTGCGCGCAAAGCGCGCGCGTGGTTTGATCACGCCTCAGCTAGGTCCTGCAAACATATGCGCCTACATCCATACAACAGCCCGTTCATGCATAATCCATTCGTACATGGTTCTGTACATTCCACCGTACATAATCGATTAATGCTTCTTTCGAGGCAACCCGAAGACCAGACGTGGTCCAACCGTGTAGCCATCGAGTCAGCCCCACATGCCTATTGACACCGTCTTCAGAGTCGTTTGGAACCTAAGTGCGCGCGTAGCGCGCGCGTGGTGCTGGTATGTGCGTTTGTGTGTACATTGGCGTGTATACATATCTGTCACACAGTGCCATGCGGTGCACACGCGTTGATCGAACTTGTGCGTTTTGTCAGAAGCTTTCTCACACGCTATTCTGTTGCCCCTATGCGCGCGCGCGCCCCCCTCGTGCGCGTGCCCACGTCAACACACACACACACCTTTTTTGTTGCAACCTGTCCGCATGTTTCCCTCATGCGAGAAACACGTGTTTTCATGTCTTTTCACCGACCCACTGCCACACTCATGCGCGCTCCCTTTGAGCGGCCAAGAGCAATTGATTGGATCTTCGGCCATGCTGTCGACTGGCCACGCGCGCGCACACGTGGAGCACAGTCAACCAGCACCGCGCTGCCCTCCTACTCCGTGAAACAGTTCCATGCGGGTCACGCGCGCGCGTCGCCTAGTGCAGGCGGCGAAGCCCTGCACTTACATGTTATGTTTTGTGCCTTCCATTATGCGAAACATCGCTTCAGCACGCAGGTGTGCAGCACCATATGGGACCCAGTGGTTGTGCAATACAAGTTCTGTCAGAATTTCGGACGTTCTGTCTCCGCGCACTTCATGAACATCCTCAGCAGCACAATCGTTATCATCATCGCCAGTGTCATCGTTGCCACCGCCGTCAGCATCTCCGTCACCTTCATCGCCATTATCAGAATCGTTGTCGTTACCGCCGCCGTGGTCATCAATCTCATCATCGTCATCGTTGTTGTCGTCGCCTGTTTCGTCAGCGCCACCATCAACATCACCACCCTAGGCACGGACCTGCACGACAATAGCTTTCGCGTCTTCAGTTGTGTTGTACCAACAAGTTGCGGGTGAGTGGTTGGAAGTTTGCTCGAGGTTTGGAGTTGACGCCTGGCATTTGAGCTCACAGCTCCAAGGCCGTCACCATTAATAATAAAAATGCATCGATTTCTATCCCTCTTTTCTGGGCTGATGTTTACCCCTCCGGTAGCGCGAGTCAGCACATGCTCGCGTATATGATCGCGGGCTTCGGGTCCTCGGGCCCCCCCCCAGATGGGATGGGTCCCAGGGTCCTCGGCCCCCCCCCCCCAGATGGGATGGGGGGGGGAGGAGGAGGAGGAGGAGGAGGAGGAGCAGGATGAGGAGGAGGAGGAGGACGACGACGACGACGGCAATGACGACGATGACGACTACGACGACGACGACGACGACGACGACGACGACGACGACGACGACGACGACGACGACGACGACGACGACGACGACGACGACACCGACGACGACGACAACGACGACGACAACGACGACGACGACGACGTCGACGTCGACGGCACCACTAGCGGCGGCGGCGACGACGTCAAGCACCAGAGCTGTCAACATGACGCCAATCCCAGCCACACGCCGCACCCACACCGCACCCACAGGGGGGGAGGGAGGGAGGGAGGGAGGAGGACCATGGCGTCACCCCGCACACACCGACAGCAACACACCACACCCACACCACATGCACAGGGGGGGGGGAGCCACCACGCCAAGCCCACGCCCACAGGGGGGGGGGCATCGCGCGGGGGGGGGGCGATGGCATTAGCATTGGGGGGGAGGGCCCAAACCCTCGACCATATATGGTCATGCGCACGTGTTAATGCAAGGTGCGTGTGCGGTGCGTAACATCGGGTATATTATGGTTTGATAGTCTAGCATTTGTTAGGTATGGGGTGCTATGAGCACACGTACTTACATTACCTACGCTGGGGTAACATGTATGCCTACATCGTATGGTTGTACGTCATGCGATACACGACAGGTTAACCGAACACATGTTCGTTCAGCATACGTTCATTCAGCATGTTGCACTACCTAATGTCCTTCGGCCCACCCCGCCACTGTGCCTGGGTTGTGGGTCTGAACCCTCTTGGATGTTCGTTGGGATCTCGTCGGGGCCCCTCGGGGGCCTCCCGAAGGCAGTTTTGATGCCTCTAGGAGACTGTTTTGGGGTCTCTTGGGATCTCTTTTGGGCCTCTTGGTGGCCTCTTGGGGCATCGTGGGGGCCTCCTGGGGGCCTCCTGGGGGCCTCTTGGGGGCTCTTGGGCGCCTCTTAGTGCCTCTCCTGGGCGCCTCTTGGGGCGGAAGGCTAGGATTTTCGGTTTGTGTTCCCCGTTCCCCCTTTTGGGCTCCTCTCGGGGCCCTCTTGAGCAGTCTTGGGCGCCTCTTGGGCCCTCTTGGGGCCTTCCTGGGCCGTCTTCGGGCGTTCTTGGGGGCTTCTTGGGCCGTCTTTGGTCGGTCTTGGGGGACCTCTTGGGACGTCTTGGAGCGTCGGAAACTCGAAAAGTTGAGAACCCCCCAAACCATTTAACAACCGAGTGTAAATCAATGATTTTGGCCTCTCGGAGCCCTGTTGGGAAGGCTCTTGGCTTGGGGCTCTCTTGGGGCGCCACGAAGGCTTCCTCGACCGTCTTGGGGCTATCGCGGGCGTCTAGTGAAGCTTTGGGACCGTCTCGGAGGCCCCTTCAGACGGAAGTGTAGCATATGCCGCTCAGACAGAGAGTACGAATGAGCAGTAGAAGTTCTACGGCAGGTAATCCCCGGCAGCTGGAAGCAGAGGCAGTTCGTCATTGGAGTGGGCGCCAATGTTGAAGTGGGCCAGCAGCATGACGAAGACGACCCCCTTTGCATCGGCAAAGTCGGCCTGGGCGCGAGGACGGATTGAATCAATGTCTGGCGTGGGCAACCCAACACGCGACAAATCTATTATGTGTTAATTGGCCACAGACTCAAAATAGAGTTGCACAATACAGATGTCATTGCCGATTTGATGCAAAAGAAGGGTCGCAGGGCAGTTTTGGCAAAATATGCCAGTACGCGCGAAAGTGGAGACGGCGGAAGCCTCTGATGGTGGGGCGAGGATGGGACATGACAGCATACAGAGAAGAATGCCATGTGGCACAAGCGACTGCCTTGCGCGAGGCATCCGAAGACGTCGCTTCAGTGACAAGCGCTTTTGAAGGCTGCTTCAGAATGCGGCGAAGTACGGAAGGGGGCCAGGCAAAACGAGGAAACGTCCGAGTTCATCAGACAGATACGGGAAGAGAGGAACGAATGCACCAACGCAGAAGAAAGGAAACATAAGTCACGTCGCTTGAACGGAGCTCTCCGCGACCAAATGCGGAAGAGGCAGAACGACCAGCTTGACGAGTTCATCCTCAAAGGGTCAGCAAAGAAACTACCTGGGCTCCCAAATTGGCCGAATAAAGAAACCGCAGAACCAACATCCGAGATTCAAATGGAAAGCTACAGTCCGGAAGGGGAGACATGGCTGAAAGTTTCGCAACATTTTGCAAGTCTTTGTATGACGCTCCGCTGGAAGGCTCCGGGGTCACCAGACCAAGCAGTAGGATCCCGGCTGCAGAAGTAAAGGCGGACGTCGCATGGATCTTTTCTCGAATGAAGCGGAACAAGGATAGCGCTGAAGACTGTTTGGTGGCCGAGATGTTGAAGGGGGGCGGGAACGATATCATGAACCCCATCGCGGGGGTTTTTGCCGACTTGCTCAACGGCGTGTCCCGGGCCC